TCATAACAAAATCAGAGTTTCTCCATCTTGGAGAAGCCGGGTCCTTCCCCAAGCTTCTTGGTGAGCTAGGAGAAAAACGAATAGCACGGTTCAGATTTTTCTCCCTCAATGATCTTGAGAATGGATCGTCATTTTGCTCAAAGATGCTGGTTTTGTTAAAACCAAACTGATGAATGTCTCTACCCAATGGAGATCCCGGTAATGTCTCCAATCCCATGAGCTTTGCAACAACACTGGGAGGCCGTTTCTTGCTGCTGCTTGAACAGCTTTCACTGAAACTTTCAGAAAGCTTACTTGATCTAGGATCAACACCGGAGTTTTGCATCACTCGATCTCTACTATCCAGTGAAAGCCTAGGCAACTCTTTTTGCTTCTGTCTGGATTTCAGCGTATCATGAGAATCAACTGAGTAACGAGGTGCATCTTTCTTGCCAGTCTCGTTATAATGCTGAGATGTTTCTCTAAGTTTTGCTAGAACTCTGAAGGACTCATTGAGATCCGCGGGAGTTGATTGCTTCAAACCATAAGGCCTTGGAGAATCCTCTCGTCTACTGTGTCTAGCTACTTCTTCTCTTGTCATTGGAGTCTTAATCAAAAGCCCTCTGGCTTCTCTGTACATTGAGTCTCTCACAACATCTCTGAGGTCAAGTCCCAGATGTGAAAATCCATTCCCTTCAGTCATCTCAGGATCACTTGTAGGAGATTCTGGAAAATTGACTCGGTCATATGCAGAAGCTTCAGGTAGAACTCCTCTGTTGAACTCAGAAGAAGATGGAGAGGACGAACATGAAGATGAGAAAGAAACCCTCGATGATTCTGTTGAAATCCTTTGCTTCTCTTTCACATTCCCACCATTGTTTGTGTCCTGAAATGAAATGCAACCCTTAGGATCTTAAAGAAAACCACTGGTATATGTTTGACAAGGGAACTAACTTACAGTTTCTTTTTGTTGATTAATTGTATCAACAGATTCAGATTCTCTCTCGTAGTTGATGCTATTAGCATTGCCATTACCTGCAACAAGTACATAAAACAAGCATGAGCATCATATCTATTATCTAAACTCCCAAACAAGGAACACCAGATAATGCATCCAGAGAAACCATTAATAAAAACCTATACCAACCTGTTAGTCAAACTTGAATTTATCACATTTGGTTGGAAACTTCATGAGCCTAAGGTTAATAAAAGTCAAAATCTACCAAGAAAAAACAGGCCAGAAGGGAAACTAAATCTAACCAAAAGATCCGGCAGATCAACACAACTGAGAAAGAAAGGAAAAAAAAAAACCTTAACTTAGATCTCAGAAACTGGAACAAGACCTGGTTAATGAAAGAATTACTACAATGGCAGATGCAGAGACAAAACAAAATAGAGAAGAAGATACAAAAAGAAAAGTAAAAGACATGAATTAATAATTACATACATGCTGTAACTACATACAAGTCAACGACTAGGAGACACGAACCATAGAGATCAGAAGAGAGTGTTTAAATGATCAAAATATAAATATTAATTATTTACCTAAAGTAAGGCTTTTACGCCGGCCAGTGAGAACATGGTGACGATCAAAGATTTGAAAAATCCCATTCATACAACCAATTTGCTTCTTCAGATCTGCACTATCATCTGCCAATGAATGCAGAAGCTTCGCCGCCATTTTCTATACAATCACAAAAACAGCCAATTCTCCGGCGCCGGAACTTTCTGCAGAAAGATTCAAAAAGACTTCTCCTTTTCTTCTCTTTTTGGCTTTGAAAGCTTCCTTATGTGATGTGTGTTCCCCTTTATTGATTTCCGAAAAACCCAAACTTTTTGCACCAATGATGCGTTTGCAATAATTTGGAAGAGATCACTTTAAAAGTTATCTTTATATTTACTTTCTCTCTATCTCCATCATCAAACAGTAACCACCATTAACATCATAACGAGAATGACGCACCTTCCATATTCATATAACTCCAAAAGTTTAGCCTTTTCTCTTTGTAGAAAACTTGAAACCCGTTTAAGATTTCAAATCAGAACCCCCCAATTGTATTTCTCCAGCTTAATTAAAGCTCCCTCAAAAAGATCCCAAATTTACCACCAAAAAAGAAAAATCTAATATGTTCAATCAGAGTTCTAAGTCCCCACACTAACAGCAAGCAACCTACGGATCTGTAAAAGGAGATAAAGTTTAGGCCTTTTTTACAAACCTAGATTCCACTGTAGAAGACAAAAGGAAAAGGGAAGAAAAGATAAGAGACCCTTTTGGTGATTAGATCCAATCTTCAATAAACTAAACCATAAAGAGTAGATAGAACACAGTGTGCCCCTTTTGTCTGAAAAAATATCAGTCCTAAGACACAGAATGTGAGTTAGTGAAATCTACAGAACAGAAGCAATGAAAAGAAGAGAGTTGCAGAAGAAGAGAAACCGCCAAATCAAGAGGAAGAGGAAGAGAACAGAATAAGGGATTAAAGAAAGGAACAAAAGAATCTCTTACAGATCCAAGAAGAGACTAAATGTTCCTCTGTTTTGTACTCACTGGTAACTGCTCAGAGAACAAACCGGAAAATTCAGCCACATATTGGCTTATTGGAAAATGGAAAGGATTCTTTTTTTTTTTCTTTTTTTCTTTTTCTCTTAAGTAAAAACGTTAGCAAAGAAAGATTAGGTTATCTTTATTTATTAGAAACTTATTAAAATGAAAACAATAGAGAGAGAGACATTGGAGAGGGTGTGTGTGTGTGGAGGTACAGAGACTCTCCATCTCACGAAAGCATGTGAGAGAGAGTAGATCTTGTTTTTACTTCTTCACGCATGTGACCTCTGTGACTCTGTCAGTCAGCTCATCAAACATATCCAGAGAATGAATTCATTTTTCTTTCTTCTCTCTTATGTTTTCTGTCACCAAATATATTAAGATCCTGGATTTGATACTTGAATTACAAATCATCATATATATATATTGTATCTTTGCTTCATTATCACACCAAATACACAAATTTTACATTACTATAATCATCATCTTATTAGTAAGGTTTATTTGCATTGAAGACAGTAAATATTCTTCTTGTGTGTTAAAAAAAATTGTCGGCGTGATAGAAATAGTAGTACTAGTATATCACAAAACTGACGTTAACTCTTGACTTGGATAAAAACATTTTCACCACCATTGAAATGAAATGTTATTTAATCCAAAGTTAGATATGTGAAACTTACTCAGAAAAAGTATCACGATGTTTTGGTCTTTAATATTTGCCGGTGAGGTCACGGCTGTACAACATTAAATACCATTCGCTTTAGGTAGGGAAAACAAAAACCAAACAAAATTTGCGTAACCAAGTGAAAATATAAACATATTTTTCCACATAATTTTCACTAAATTTATATTTTTTTTTCTCTTTTATAGAAACTAAAGTCATTTCTGCATCTTGTGTGTCTATCAAACGAAGACTTGTCATTTCTATTATGTTCCCCCTTTTGCTTTCTACTAGTTTCTCACACGTCGAGTTTTATCATATCCATCAACACACACACCTTATTCTTGTTGTTCTTTTTTCTTGTCATTTTCTACTCATAAATTATTTTAAAAAAAATTGACAACCACTTACATTCAATTTATGTTTTGACTTGTCTTTTCTCCAATTTCAACTTGTTACTTTCGTATTCGTAGGTGGCCGTATACTATCGAGTCTAGTACGAATTAACGGTACTTTTCTTGAGGGATTCAAAAATAAACTAATGGTTAACATAATATACTAAAGCAAATTATAATTCTAGCTAGTTTGGAGCCACGAAAGAACAAAAAGATTAGGTGGTGTCTCGAGCTCCAAAGTTGAGAACATTGTTTATATTTTTTCCTCATAGTGGAACTCTTTCTTTTTGCATGGAAGTTGTTAAAAGCAATGTTGAGAATAAAATAGTTGATACTATTAAAGAATGTATAGTAAGAAATAAACTAATGGGTGTGTGTGTATGTATATATATACTACTTGCAAAACAATACTACTAGATGCTTTAGTAGTTGCGTTGCCGACAAGAATTATTTGGACTTCTAAAATCTATCTCCTCCACATTGTATTTTTAGTTTTGACTCATTTATATATTTTGTGATTTTTTTGGGGGAACAATTCTTACTGAAATTGTAGCATTTTCCCTACAGAAATGGTACCAAAAAAAAAAAGATAAGAAAAAACGTTTGGTAAAAGAACAAAAATATATAGAAAGACGTCAAAAAAAAAAAAAATTGGTAATGAATCAATGAGAGAAATAAATTAAATAATTAAGGGTTTGGTAATATAGCAATTTAAAGAAGTAAATTACCTCTCCTGAATTTTTCTTTCTCTCTACTTACTTTAGCATTTACTCTTTGTCGTTGGATCCAAACGTAGTATATGCATAGATCATAGATGTATCCATGGTATCAAAATTTAACGATTTCCCAAGCTACACATGTACACTATTGTCTACTGTTATATTATAAAGTTAATAATGACATCAGTAAAGTTTAAGTGGTCTTTGGTCAAAGATTAAGAATGCTCGCTCAATCATCGAGGCACATGGTTTCACGCTGTTAATGATTTGTCAAAAACACTTGTAATCATCGAATTTTTGTCTCTTTTAACTTGTGTACTAGTAATCTTCTGTGCATTGATCAATGGTTGTTGCATTAAACTACTATCATTACAATGACCAATGTCAAACGTAATCTTTTTAGTTGGTGAAAAATGAAAATTGCATTAGAGATTTAAAATCACAATGCAAGAGAGAGGGAAAGACAAAAACAAAAAATTATTATTTAGTCGTGCACAATCGTCGCATCATAGTCCTCATATAAAGCAGAACTTATTGCTTAAGAAACACAGACTCGTTTATTATGTGAAGACCTTTAATGCATTTAATATTAAGTCCCACCTGTAACGTTTCTTCAAATGTAATTACTACCCTTACTACTACTTTGTAATCTGGTGATTGATTTTGTGTGATGTGTTAGTGTGTCATATATAAAAAAAAGGTAAAAAAGTAAACAATGCATCTCTCTTGCTTGCAAATCGAGACCAACTACAACGGATATATAATAGCAAAAGGGGAAAAGCTGTTTATATTGCAGAACTTCCAAATACAAAACAAGAAGAAGAAAAAAAGGCCTCAACTTCAAATGTTGGCTTCTTCCACTCATCATTCATTTTCTTCAACTTTGCTATTAAACCAAATTCTATCTCCAGCTACTACTTAACTGAATAACCTCACAACAACAACAAAAAATCCTTCAAGCTGGTAACATTGTTACGGTTTCGGTTGTTGCGCTGCATCTGCATCATCTTCCGCAGCAGCTGCCCCTTCCTCTGTTTCAATCCAAAGAATGAGTTAAGACTTATTACCCAATAGTTAAGAAGGAACTGTTTAATCATGCCTATTCATGAATCACCTTGCTTTTGTGGCGATGAAGCTCCTCCAAGATCAGCTTTAGCAGCATCTGTTGAAATCTCATTTCTCGATGGCTCTACATTCGCCTCATCATGAGTATCCGGCAATGGCTCCTTGTTAACAATCCCCTGCAAAATATTCAGTACATAAATTCTGAAACATTATTCCAAAATAGCTGAAGCTGTTGTAGTAGATAAATGTCACACCGTATCGAGCTGAGAAGCATCTTGATCTTTGACAGAGTTAACAGCAGCGGTTTCTGCCTCCTGTGGTCCCACCATGCTTACACTAGCATGGAGAGTGTCAATCATGGGTACGTTCATATCATTTGAATGTGCAACCTTCTTTGGATCAGCTTGTTTGCTACTACCAGCTGCTGAATCCTTGCTCAAAGTTCTTAGTATCTTTGCTCTATGATCACAATCTCCATCAGATGTAGCAGGCCTTTTCCTGTTAACAATCACAAATCAGCCATGCTCTCCAAGAAGTGGGCCAAAAGAGAAAATTTAACCTGAGAATAATAATAAACACTTGCCTGTTACTGAAGCGAGGATCTTCCATTTGAACAGAGTTTGAAAACAAAACACCATGAAAAACCTTTCCATCAATGATCGTTTCTATAGTGTAACCATGAGGGTTACTTTGGGTAAGCCTGCCTTGAAACATTGGTTTTCTTTGATCATTCGAGCCAGTCTTCAAAGGGACATTCTCTCTTCCTACAGTCAAACCATATATCGAGTAAATGCTACATTTTTTGTTCTTACTCTAATATTACTAATGTAGGAGAGCAGACCTTGGTCAATGTTGGCTCTGGTCACAGCTAATTTCTTCCCTTGGCATTTTAGCTTCATTTCTTTCCTAAGAGACAACCTCCTAAGGTTTTGATCAAACCGGACATCGTACCCACCTTCTAATAACCATACGCAAAGAAGATTAGCAGAAGCAAATTTGATGTAACCAATACAGAATATTAGCTACAGATACCAAAGAATCGCAGTAAAACTGAAAAGCTGTAACAAACCTGTGTGTAAATAGTAAATGTCATCCAACGGCTCAAGATTCTTATTGCACCCACCGAGAAAGAAAAACGAACCAGCTTTATAAGGATCTAAACAAACCGCTGCACAAGAGAATCTAGCACATGGCCCTTCTTCCATGGCAGCTACCTTGGACCATACACCCGTTTCTTTATAGACAAACCAACAATAATTAGTTATGACGCTATCAGAGACTATCGAGAATTAAAGGCTTGTCATTAATGAAGGTCTTTACATACCCAAATCAAGGACGTATAGATCACCATAAAGATTCTGTGAATCCGTAAACCCTCCAAAAACAAATAAGTTCTTGTCTAGTGCAACAGTTACATGACCGGCTCGAGGTGTTAACAACTGTCCTGAAGTTTTCAGTTCCTTCCATACAAATATATCTGAAAGTAAAGAGCCAGAATATCAGAAGACATACACACAAGCACTAAACACGTAAAGAATGCTTTCTTACCTGTATCAAGGATATGAACATCGGAGAGATAATAGTCATCCAAATCTTCACCCCCGACTACGATGATTTTGTTCTTCCACGTTGAGCAAGTGTGGTTATCTCGTGCAGAGGGGGTTTTCCCGTTTGTTACAGCACGTTTCCACACGTAAGTTTCTAACAAGATTAAAGCTGGTCAGTTACATGCATGCCTCCATGGAATTGACAGCAAATTTTCTAATTAATCCAAATAAAATCGATAAGAGTAATGCACATTGTGGCTAACAGAAACTAACATCCAATCTGTATGTCAATGCTCACACAAGGAGTCAGCACAAAAAGGCTCATTCTTTAATCTCTCTCAGATTCCATATCAGTTAATCACAGATGCTATATGAAGAGTATTAACATGGAAGCTAAAAAGTAGCCTAAGCAGTATACCTGTGTTAAGTATGTAAAGGTCATTATAGAATACTTCATCATCCGAAGCAGGAGATTTCCCACAGCCACCAAATATGAAAAGACGTTGGTCAATTAGCGCGGCACTATGAGCCTCTCTTGCCCCGGGTCCCTCACCTCTAATATCCGGGCATATCCAAGTATGTGAAGCTACCACACATAAACGAAAGAGAAACAAGCGACAGGAACAGTTAGCACAAGCATTTTCTTGATCTATTTAGACAACGCAAGAAAAGATAGAAGAGCTTACAAGTATCTAGGATGTGCAGATCCTTGAGATACTTGGTCCCATCAGTACCACCAAACACAAAAAGGTTATCCCCAACAGTAGTACAGCTGTGACTGTCCCTCGGGCAAGGTGGTACGCCACGGATTACAGGCTGAGTCCATATCCGCGTTTCTGCAACAAAATTGCCACATACGAGAACAAGGAAGATTTTCAAAACAGGACAATCAAGTAAGTAACCACAAAACATCATTCCCAACTTCCCAAGAGATGAAAGGATCATATCAAGAACGGTATAACAAGGAAAGAAACAGTAGATATGCACTAAAGAACAAAGATCAAAGATTTGAAACAAAATAGGATAATGGGGTCTACCGCACAATCGAACAAATGACAAAGACAAACCCTACAAAATTTGAACAAAATCATCGCTACAGAGATCAATCAAAAGGTTGAGACTTCTTTTTGCAAAACCACACTAGGAGGATCGACGATCTTAAGAAGAAGTAAAAAAGCCGACATTTTACACCGGAGCTAGCAACTCACCAGCGTCGAAGACATGGACTTGATTGGTTAAGCAACCGTCGCGACCAAAACCACCGAAGACGTAGAGAAATCTACCTCCTTTAATGGCGTTACAAGTGTGCCCCCATCTCTTCCCGGGGCCGGAGAAAGAACCACCGAGACCCACTTGTTGGACCCTCTCCCACCTCATTTTCTTGGATGAAAGATCCTTCCTTTGCGTTGAGAAAGTGCGGGAAAATTAAGGTTTTTTGGAAAAGGAGCTAATAAAACTGAAAGACAAAGAGGAAATCCAAAAAAAAAACACTCAAAATGATTCTTTAATGCTAATGGCGATACACAAGATTTATAAAGGTGCTTCTCCCTTTCTTTGGTTTTAGGTTTTTTCTAACAATGGTAACCGCAAAAGAATAAAAGGAACAAATAAAAAGAAATCTTTTACCGAAATTGAAACAAGGTGAGACAATGTTTCTGAATACAAATCCAATGTGACCAAATCTTTTTCTTTATATTTTTCTTTTTATGTGGGAATTCTATTTCTGTTTAAAGAAGCCATTAAATCGAATAAAAGTAATGATGTCAAGTTGTCAACAGCAACAACAAAATCCAATGAGTAATATTTGTTGCCTTCAAGTCTATGTGTCCATTAGGTAATCCTTGGAAGAAAATTACACACCCTTCTTATGATTTGGATCAACCACAAGGAAATATAGTAAAATAGAGAGAGAGAATTCATCAAATGCTCTAATCATCATTGTTTTTTTTCTAAAATTTTAGGTGTGTCAGTATTTAAGGAATAAATAATTCATTGTTTGTTCTTTATAATCTTTGTGATAGACGTCAAATGAAAACAATATCTTGGTGATGAGACTTGAAATAAATGACAAGACAATAACCTTAAGCTAATCTACAATGTTCAATTCAAAAGTTCCATCAAATTGATATCTTGGTTTCAGTTTAAACCACAATCCAAAAGTCTTCCAATCAGAACCAAAGTTTCCAAAATGTCCAGCTCAAACAAAAAAATGGTACTAATAGTCTCATTTGTAAAACAAAATGTAACATAACTGGTCGGTATGATGATCATGTTTAATTGATTCTTTTGAAGCAAGCCCAAGGTCCAATGGAGAAATTTAAATAACCCAATCATTATCAGAATCGGCCTTTCCTTATCCGTCTCCACGCCATAGCTGCAACCACAACTCCTCCCATCTGACCCGAACTTGATGAGACGTTGTTCCTCTTCCCCTGCATTCCCAAAAATAAGTTGCTCTGGTTAAAAGATGCATAGTCATATTGTCTCAAAGCAAAATGTCGATCGATTAGATTATGAGAGCATACACACCTCTAGCATCTTAAACATGTCGAGTCCTAGAAAAAAGATTCCCTGAAGATTAGAAATATAAAGTTATTAGATGATTCAGAAGAGTTTTACTCGTTGTGATGAGTATGTAGAGAGTCCTTACAGTCAGTACAGGCACACGGAGCAGCAACCTAAAGTATGTAGTAACTCTTGGGTAGATGCACATATCGAGCAGCGTGATAGCAAACACAGATCCATTAGAGCCCTGTACCATAGGAAAGAGTTTACCTCACTAGCATTTGGTGATCCAAAACAAGTGTATGTGCATCTTTGTCTCACTCTCTATATATCAACCGAAGATTCCAGTCTGTTCATGCTCAGACCAAGTCATTTAACTAGACGAGTACAAAACATACCAGGTGAAAAATGGGGATTGATGGATCCGTGATAACAACTCCTTCACCCTGTATGATTGACCAACAATATCGGAGGTAAGGCATTTTGTGTAAGCCTCATATATGTAACATGTACTTCAAATGAACTGGATAAGGATTAATGAAAAAACTACTAATCATATGGACCTAGCATAATTTGAAATTAAAAGGAAACTGCTCTATATATACCTGGAGTGTAGCCAAGATAGCTTGACCACTCAAGAAGACAACAGAGCTACCAAGTGCTCCAGCAACGTACAGCTTCAAAAGGTAAAGCGGCCCCAAGGTTCTTGCAATCTAAGAACAATGGGTTTATGAGATAAAGATGCGTAGGTAGCAAGTTTTCCAAAAGGAACCAACTTAATATCTATCTAAGGAGCAATTAAGGACGTTTCCTTGTAAAGTTAAGTTGCTGTTACAGTAACATGAGCGAAATTAATATTGTGAATATGTGCTCCAGTCAGATGTAACGAAGTGGCCAGTTCAAAGGAAGTACAAAGGAATGCATTTTTCATCTTATTTAAGATCAAAGAAGGAGACATACTCTGGTTCCGAAGTAGTAGAGTATAATCATGTTCAAGCTGAGGTCACTGGTTCCAATATGACTAAATCCCGAAGTTATCAGCGTGTGTATACGCCCAGACGTGAAACCGTACGTTGATAGCTGCTCAAATATGAAGGTTAATGATACCAAAGATCAACCAAATCCAAGACAAGAGTTTAGCATTAAAGAAGAGAATAAAAAATCTGAAGTTATGAGGTTAATTAGATCACCACAAAATGTTTCGACAACCACATCCTCCACTGTATGTCCTTGCCTAAAACACGCCACAATGTGAATACAGCAGCATTAGCTACTATCAACCCTAAAACTACACCATTAGCTCCATTAATCCAAGACTTCCTGCGAGACGAAAACACACACAAGTAAACCCAATAAATTAAGTTAGTTAATTTTATTTTTTGGTATTGTTTAGTATCCACAAACCAAAATCACAAAGAAGGGAGACGAAAAGAAACAATACCATCCACGCTTTTGAAAACCGGTAAAACCCTTTGACTCTAATCCAACACGAGGAAGCTCAGAACTGAAGAACCCTACTCTAGATTCCATAACATTTCCGAGTTTGAGCTTTAGATTGGTGTTCCCGAACGTGCTTGCGAAGAACCCATGAACTTTCTCCGATCGCGATAGACAAGGAACGAAGCGACGAGTGACGGAAGAAGAAGATGAGAGGCTAGAAGAGAGAAGATGGGTCAGGAAATGGCGACTCTGGGTCGGCTGCTTCTTCACCAGTTTGGTCAGCTGCGAAGAAGAACCAACGATGACCACCCTCCGACTGCGAGAGAAAATCGCATGCATTTTTCCAACTCTTGTTTGGGAGCCAATTTTTACCAAATGCATGGACACCAGATTCTCATGAGCTATCTCTTTAAAACGTCACCTTTTTTTTTAATTCATTAGGATATTAACAACTTTATTGTAAAGGTTTATTTTTATATAGAAAAAAATCTGCTCTTTCCAATTTAGGAAAATTGTAAAATTTAAAAACTTGAAAATATTCATTGCACCATGACCTTTCCCATCTCCACAATAAAAAAAAAAAAAACAAATTGACAAACATCACTCCACAAGTCTACCCACTCACTCTCATCAGTCTCTCAGCACCAAAGTTTCCAAAACGTTCAGCCCAAACGATGAGAATACTTATAATAATCTCATTGTCACAAAGTTTAACATAATTAGTATAATCAAATCACTAATAGAATCGGCCTTTCCTTAACCGTGCCCACGCCATGACTGCTACTACTAGTCCACCTAACTGACTCGAACTTGATAAGATTTTGCTATCTTTCCCCTGCATTCCCAAAAAAAAAGGTTTGTGTCTGGTTAAAAGATGCATAGTCATATTGTCTCAAAGCAAAATGTGGATTAGATTCTCAGATCATACACACCTCTAGCATCTTTAACATGTCGAGTCCTAAGAAAAAGATTCCCTGAAGATTAGAAAAGAGAGAGTTTTTAGATGATTCACAAGAGTTTCACTCATTATGACGAGTACGTAGAGAGTCCTTACAGTCAACGCAGGCACACGGAGGATCAACCCAAAGTATGTTGTAACTTTCGGGTAGATGAACATATCGAGAAGCGTGATGGCAAACACAGATCCATCAGCACCCTGTACAAAAATTGGAAACACTTTGATAGTCCAAAACATGAAGCGTGTTCATGGTTCATGTTCTTACAAAAACATTTAACTTGATAAGTAAAAATAACTTACCTGTTGAAAAATGGGGACTTTTACTTGATCTTTAGTGACTACTACTACTACTCGTTGGCCCTGTATGATTGACCAACCAATAAAGATTAACGAAGGTAAGGCGTTTCGTCTAAGCCCACAATTCCGCGCAACACATCTGTGGACTTAGCATGATTATGAAAATGAGAAAGCTATGCTTGTCGCTATATATATATATATATATACCTTGAGTGACATAACCGAGAGAGCATGAATACTCAAGAAGAAAACAGAGCTACCAAGTGTTCCAGCAAAGTACAGCTTCAAGAGGTAACGTGGCCCCAAGGTTCTTGCAATCTAAGAGCAGATGGGGTTCGATATAAAGATCAAACAGTATGGAACGATCAATAAGTATCAATTATTTTTTGTTTTTGAACGAACTAAGGACGTTTCGTATCGAGTCATATGAGCCAAATTAAGTGTTAGTAGCCCATTGATAGGAAACAAATGAAAGCATTTCTCATCTCATTTACGAAAACAGATTATATAGAGACATATTTCTATGGAAACAAGGAAGTGAAGTCATACTCTGGTTCCGAAGTAGCAAAGTCCAATCATGTTCAAGATGAGTTGACTAGTTCCAACATTAGTGAAACCCGAAGTGATCAGTGTGTGTATGCGTCCAGTCACAAAACTGTACTTTGATAACTGCCCAAATATATAGCATGGTTAATCATACAAAAGATCCACCAAATCCTAAGTAGAAGAGTTTTAGCAGGGTACTTAAGATTAAAGAAAAACAAAAGTTGTGAACTTTGTTTGAGGTCAGACCAGAAAATTATTCACCATCCACTTAATGTCTTGGCCTGAGACGCGCCACATGGTAAACACAGCAGCATTAGCTATAATCAATCCGAAAACTACACAATTAGCTCCATTAAACCAAGACTTCCTGCCAGAAGAAACACACAAGTATACCCCAGTAAAGTGTTACTTCTTTATCCGGAGAACATAAAGGAGTAGGTCTAAACCAGTGTCCAGCTGCTAGTCTATTTATAAAGAGGAAAGCATCAAAAGAGCTTTGAGCTGCTCAAATCAAGAACTACACAGAAATGGCAAAAAAGCTACTAATTGTCCTCGTCCTTTTCTGAGTCCTCACATGTCTTTTTTTTTTTTTTTTTTTGAAAGAAGCCAAAGCACCATTGACTAGAAAGAAAGAAAAAAATAGCTAAGGGAGGAAAGATGTGAAAACATTAGTAGATGATTAATGAACCACATAAACTCTGTACAACCCTAAATCAAACCTGAGCATCCTAGAGATTATATGTAAATCACACCAAAAAAAATAAGAAATAAGGTTTCGAAGTTAAATCATCACAAAAAGGGGGGGAGGAAAGAGAGACAATACCATGTACGCTTTTGAAACCCGGTAAAAGCATTAGAGTTGAATACATGACTAGGTAGCTCAAAACTGAAGAAGCCAACTCTAGATTCCAAAACAATATTTCCGACTTTTTGCTTTAGATTGGTGTTTCCCAACGTGCTAGCAAAGAACCCATGAAGTTTCTCCAACCGGGCGGGTAGAAGAGAGGGAACAAATCGGTTGGCTGAAGAAGAAGTTGAAGAAGAGAGAGCAGAAGGAAGAAGAAGATGACTCAAGAAATGGCGACTCTGGTTCGGCTGCTTCGTCACCAATTTGGTTAGCTGCGAAGACGAGCCAACGACCCTGCGAGAGAAAACCGCCTTCATTTTTCCAACTCTTTTTTATTTCAAAATTTGTACCAAATTAATGGCGCTTACATTGTCATGAAGTATGTGTGTTTTTTTAAAAAAAATTGTGCAATAAAAAAAAGTGATGTCACAAAAGTAACATTACAAGAAACAGAAGAAACAAGTTGTTTTCATTCTACCTACATACAGTATAAGGTAAAAAAAACAAAAGATTCGCTCCGGTTAGGGGAATTGTAAATTTATTAAACCGGGTCAGACAACAACGATCCGCTCATCTATGTCTTTTGTGTATATCGCCAATCACTCATTTGATCTAAACTAAAGAAAATTCTCTTGACGCTAACTTATAAACTAACTAGATGATGACCCGCGGGTGTATTTTCAAAACATAATTTGCTGGTTTAGTTTTTTTAAATAAGTATTTACCATTTGCATAAAATTAAACAGATTCCCTAAACCTGTCCTACACCACTGTTCTAAGGCCCAAACATCCCCCGTGGATTTTTGGTTTTTCTTCTTAATCGAGGTAATATAATTACAAAAATTACAAAAAAAAAAAACACCATGTATTTAATATATATATTGAGCATGGAAAAATTAGATGATTTTACTAGCAACAGTAGCACCCATTTAAAATTCTAAAACGATGACTTTTCAATTAAAAAAAAAAAAGGATTGTTGATCATGTAAGTTTGCTCAAGTGCTCATTTTAACTTTCGTAAGATACATATACTTAAAAAAAAAAAAAAAAAAAACTAGAGATCTGGTGTATACATATAGTTTTTCTTTAAACCAACAAAAGAAAAGATACATATGCATGCTACTATAATAAGTAGTAATAACAATACAATATATCTCTAATTAAGAAAGGCCGGAGTGGGCTTCATCATCATAGGTAAGAAAAAGAAAGACTTCAGCTCGGGATGAGAAGAGTGCGGAGAAGAATTAAACATATCAAGGTTGTGTATAGACAAGAGTCCATCGGTAGAATGACATAGCTCATAGTCTCCAGACTCGCTCCCGTAGTTCTCTAGGGTGTTTGTGTTGGCGTCATAGCATATCAAGAGCCGCGTCGATATTAGCTTGAACAAAACTTGGTCTGACCATATATCTAGCATCTGCACTTTACCATCATTTTTGTTTGGATTTGTTCCTCCGAGATCGATCTTATGCATCTTGGCCCATCCGCCGCTAGCAGTTTCGTCCATCTTCCAAATCTCCATGATTTGAGACCGGACATCATCATCTATCATCCATAAGTTTCCACGGATTCCAGACAACGTGAAAAAGCGAGTTTTCTTGGTTCCCTGGATGTCAAGGCGGAAGCAAGGTGGTTTGGGGTTTATGGTTGAGAAAGCTTCATCTTGTAAAGAGAAAGACACGATCTGAAAATCACTAGTGGTCCAGTAAATAAATCCATTGACGTGAACCTGAGACGACAGTTGTAGAAGATAGGGACATGGTCTACGTAGCCTTCTCCAACGGGATACGTTAAGACGGCCATCTTCCATAATGTCCATATTCAAGACCTCAAATTTGAGATCTACTTTCTTCCAAGTTGTGATGAGGCCACTTGGCAACCTCCTTGTACGGTCTTCATCCAAGTCGTGAGGCCACTTAACGACTTTGTACTGCATCGTGGCGTCAACAAAACCAAAAGAGACGAGACACTCGTCAGATTTGTTGAAACACCATGGAGAGAACCAAGGTTCCGGTAAATTCTTCAACTCCTTGTTCACGGGGTCATAAAGATGGATCCCAGATTCACAAACAAAGCATAAGAGCTGGTGGTGAGAGCTTAGCGTTCTGAATCTATGGCCAGCAAAAACTACCATGAACTCGTGGATGAGGCCATTGGACTTGTTGGTCACAAAGAAATTGTACTTAACATGATAGTAGTACCTACGTTCCTGCTTGAGTGCCTTGAGAGTAAAAAGGAAATCACGTGAACGGCTGTGGTGGAGGCGAAGGAAAGACGTATGAGAGAGGAGAGACCTAATTTTCTTTGAGACTGATCGAAATCTGGCTAGGGATTTGCCTGGAACTCGGGACATGATATCCATAACAAGGTCACTAGGGAGATAAACAGAGGTCATATTTCTTCAAGCTCTTGCTTTGGCTGTGGTGCTTAAGCGCGTGCCTTTAACTTGTTCTCTTTATATATTTAGCTAGCGTGTGGGAGAAGTTATAAATTCCTAAACAGAAAAAAAAGGAATTTGTTTTATTACCAAAAACAATTCTGAAATCTTCATAATACAGAGATAATAATCAATAAGATTATTTCCAGTTTCCATGGACACATACAACTCCAATTGTGTGTAGGAGTTAGTTTATTTGTTGATACATATGAGATTATTAATATCTTATTCAGTATATTGGTATATATCCTATTTAAATTTGTATGTATCTTCCTAATATACAAGAGTTAAGTTTTTATATAATAAACTAGATAAATCGGCGAGGTCAACATTGATATTAAATTTTATCGAAAATAATGGAAATGTTAGTAATAACATGTATATTTTTAGATTTTATCTTGTTATTTAAAAAAAATGAATTTGAACATAACATATTCAAATTTTCAATACAATTTTAAATATCAATACCATCATAATAAATTATTTTCATCTAAACGCATGAGAGATAAAAAAAAAAATATATCACACACAATATATACACATATCAAATATATATATTAGTTAGAATTTTTTTATTTTATTTTTTTAAACGATCCCACTCAATAATTGGGCAAACTTTTAAATAAATAAATAGTTGGAGGCATGTTCAGAATAAAATGAAACTTTGAGGGTACAAGTATAAATCTGAACTTTTTTACAGGACATGGTCTTCTTCCTACTTTGTACAGTGAGCGCCTTCAAAGCCGAAGCTGAAATGGCCTCAAAACTTAAGACCTTCATCAAGCTTCGTGGCTACCCAATAACCCTATTCAATCAGAATCGATCACTATCCTCAAATCCATCTTCACGGATTCTCGTACATACTAACCAATCGCACTACAGGAAACGAATTTTACTCGCGGATCTCCTTCAGAGGTATGGTTTCCCTCCTTCTTCTCTCCAACACTTCCTCTCAAGGAACAGTCACCTGCTGAATTCGGATTTAACAGAGACCGAGACCTCTCTCGGTGTCTTGTTGTCGTTGAAACTCCCTCAGAAATCACTCGTTTCGCTGATTTGCGATTGCCCTAATGTTCTGCGATCAGAGTTCTTAAGGAAATGGAGAGTTCCTCTTTCCGAATGCGGTAAACAGGGAGTCGCGCCTTCCGCGTTTAAGAGCGTCCTTGAGCATTCTAGTAGAATTGGGATTGGTCCAGATAAGTTTTATGAATGCTTAAGGGTTTTGAAGGGTTTAGGCTTTTGTGATAGTACTGTGAGTAGGATTTTAAGCGCATTCCCTGGAGTTTTGTTAGTGAATGAGGTTGAAATTCGCAGAAAGATTGAATTTTTAGTTGGAATCGACATTGCTCTAGATAACGTTGAGAGGTTCTTTCACGTTTTTCCTGAGATTTTAGGGATTGGTACTGAGACTAGACTTAAGCCATTGCTAGATGAGTTTATGAAGATGGGGTTTAGCAAGGATGATGTTAAGAAAGATATTGCTAGAGAACCTAGAGTTCTTGGCTTGGAGTTAGGAGAGCTTCCGCGGTGTTTGGAGCTGATCAACACATTGAAATGCCGGGAAGTGATCAGAGTTAGTATTCTCAGCGAGGGTGCTTTCCGTGCTGGGTTTCAAGTGAAACTCAGAGTTGATTGTTTATGCAAATACGGGTTGATCCATAGAGACGCATTCAAGGTTGTATGGAAAGAGCCGAGGGTGATCTTATATGAGATAGAGGATATAGAGAAGAAGATTGTGTTTTTGACTAACAGAATGGGATTTCATATTAATTGCTTAGCTGATGTACCAGAGTATCTAGGGGTTAATCTTCAGAAGCAGATCGTTCCGCGGTACAATGTCATTGATTACTTGAAACTGAAAGGTGGTCTTGGCTGTGATATTGGATTGAAAGGTTTGATCAAACCAAGCATGAAAAGATTCTATAATTTATACGTGAAGCCATACCCAGAGTGTGAAAGAATCTTTGGCAAGAGAAAAGAGAGTGTCCGAGTGAAAAATCGACATCCCGCTGGGCTTTGGAAGCTTATGAAGCCGTCTAGCCATCTAACAACAAAGGAAGATGTGGTAAACATGAAGGCATTTATAGGGCCACTTGCGTAGTAGGTTTAGATCTGCTTGGAACAAAGATTGCCTCTTACTAGATTGAAATATACCGACCTCTCTTATCTGTATTCTCGCTCCCTCACTTTACTACGATCTGCTCTGAATCGATATGAGTTCAGGAAACTTCCATGAGCCATCGAATCCGATTTCATGGCTTGATCATTCAAAGGACAATACATATTCCTGACGAAAAATACTGAATAATCACTCGCTTCTCGTTCTGCATGCTGTGGAGGCAGAAGACATTAGCAAAGTGATAAGGACGTGCGAGGGAGCTGATACAAGCAATGAGGAGCGCAAAAGATTGTAACAACCTTCTCATGTTCTCATGCTTATCGGTAGTAGTCATCGAGTCTGTAATCATTATACTAGCATTGTACTCTGAGTGTAAAGGTGACACATGTGTCATCTGAGAGAGGATTGATGTTTCTAGTGATGTGCTAGAAAGGTCCTCTTCTATACAATGTATCGTTTGGGTTAAGATATCAATTCTTAACAGAAAGCTATTGCCTCCCATCTCCAGTTCGGCAATTCATTGCACAAATGATTTGCTGAGCAAATGTAATGACTTTGGTTGTCAAAAGTTGAGAGCTTTCCAATTGTTGTAACGTACTGTACATACTAGTCTAGTTATGTTGCTTGGGTCGAGCTAGGCCTGTTAGTGACCCATTAGAAAAATCAATTTTGAGTCTGGCCTCTACTAGATAGAAGTATACTAGGTTCTTTCTTATATATAAAATAATCTTTTTTTTTTTTACTTAATCCAGGTAAGACCATGTTTAAAGGAAAAAAAAAAATTAGAAAGATAATTATTGTTATTAAAAAATTATGCATTTTTACTAGTTATTTTCAAAGAAAAAAAAGTAAATTACTAAAAAGGCATTTATAATAAACTTTTAATGTGTTTAATTGGACTAATTAGGCGTATATAAATAAGAATCATATTACTAGAATAGCAATAAGAACAAGTCCGATAACTATATCCTATTATTAATTATATAATGTGGATATATAATAAAAAGAAGTATCCAATGAACAAAAAAATAAAAAAAATAAAGAGGCAGAAGGAAGCCACGAGCAAGTGTTAAGACTTTGGGTGTGTGTGTAATAAGGAGCGACAGTTGGTCAAATAACATCTTTGACTTGGTCAACGTATCGAAACAACGGTTTTCTGGTAGTATTGATTATTTAAGGACTGACACTCACACGACTTGTGGACTTGTGTGTAACATTTGCTTTCTCCTTAAGCATATTATCACAAAAGCCAGCTTATATTGTCTCTACGGTTAAGACAACCTATGACCTTACCCCCACACACATATATGTGGGAGCGTTCTTCAATTTTGCATGGCATATGTGTCACATTACTCTGTGTGTGTGTGTGGTATCGATGTTGAAGGGAGACAATTTTGTGGTTAACGAGGTTGATGCTATGTTTGGTCCATACCCTGCATCACGCATATGGCCACCATCTTACTATGTTTTCGTGACGTAATTGCTGATTTGTATTATCATCTAAACAAGCTGGATATATATGATTCGAGTAAGCCAATATATAACATAATATATGATTCAATAACCCTTAATTATGCAATTTATGAAAGAAAAAAATGCGGTGCAGTGCATCATCAGTGTTTAACAGAAATTACCATCTACAAAACATATTTTGAACATTAAAAGAATAATTAATTATTATGAAAACGGTATTAATTACCAGTTTTTTTTTGCTATGTTAAACCATTCATTTGTATGTCAAAAAAAAAAAAAAAAATTTTGTTTGTTTGTTTTTCTTTTACATGGGTGTATGGATCTAAACCTACCATGCCCTGCTTAAAGCCGGATTAATGTATGGTATCCGAGGCTAGCTAGAATATTTTCATCAATAATTAGTTGCTTATTGACTCATCAACATCTTATCTAAAACTCTAAACGGATTCTTTATGTTCCTCAAGATACAATATTATTCGCAGTTATTCACATTTTTATACTGTAATTGTCCAACACAGATACAAATTAGTCCAAGGGACCTATATATCTCAATCCCCCAGGTTTTAGTTTTACAGTTTAATGTATTAAAAATATAGAATAAGTTTGCATGAAGGACCGACACTGTCGACTCATGTGCGTTTGTAAAGAGACATGGAGGAAACAGTGACTTTTTGGTTGGGTCAAAGGGAAGCAAATCCATCTTGTTGGTTAACCGATTACGATTCATTAATAATTTCGGTGGCTTCCCCCAATGGAATATCTAGGTAGAAAATAAGGTATCCATATGTTCATTTCATACGTAGTTATGCGTCTTCTTTATTCAACAATTGTAAATTCTTCATTACATAGTATACACATTACACGCGGCATCTAAAGGATACATATTTCATTGATTTATATATGAGATGGTCTCGGAACACACCTACATAGTAATCACATGAAAATAGATTTAGTTTTATATATAGCCTGTTTACCTAAGTATATATAGTTTTCACTTTTTCAGCTCCAACTATAGATAACATAGGTAGCCAACCCTATATGGCTATATAACTCATTCACATTTCAGTCGAATCTTCCTAATATAAAATTTAACCGACCACATTGCATACAACTATCAATTACAATAGTATAGTTACTTCCTAATTACTTTTTTTTCTTTAATCTTTATACGTCATGGGTAACTGACTTTCCATATATATGCATGTTATTCTCTATGCTTCTAAAATTACTCTAACCATAATTATTTGTATGGGATCAAAGCAATTAATTATAACATTCTTACACGAAAATTACTATGTTCTAACCATTGATATTGAATATTCTAAAAATAAATAGGTACACTAATGGCTTAAATTTGCATGGCGAAAACAAGTATAAAACCATGCAACGGATCGAAGGACAACTCAAATCAATTTGAAAGGAGGAAAAGAAAGAAAAAGCCCGGCCGGTGCAAGTTGCATGTTTCCAAAGAGTCTTAACCATATATGGTCAGTTAATTAGGCATGTCCGGCTGGAACTTTAATAAATAAAATATAATTATTAACCGATCTAACCCTAGTTTTCGACCATTATAAAAGAAACAGTCTCACTCTGCCCTATCATCATCATCACACAGTTTCTTCTCTGTGCTTAAGAATAACCCTAATTTCTTCTTCAAGAAAATGGCTATTGATGATACGTATCTTTCCTTTGTTTCCCGATATGGGCCTTCTCCACTTCCGAGTCTCGAGCTTTGTCTCAGCATTTTCTTCTTCATTTTCCTTTTTGTTTTCTGGTTGACTCCAGGTGGCTTTGCTTGGGCACTCTACAAAGCTCGTTTCCATACCCGACCTGACTTCAAAACCGGACCTGTCGCCATTCCCGGCCCGTCTGGTCTCCCTATCATTGGTCTCCTTTTGGCTTTCACAAAAAATGCCTTGACACACAGAATCCTCGCCGATATTGATGGCACTTGCAAAGCAAAAGCTCTCATGGCGTTTTCAGTCGGATCGACCCGGTTTGTGATAACTAGCGAACCAGAGACCGCGAAGGAGCTTCTAAATAGCTCCGCTTTCGCAGACCGGCCCGTGAAAGAGTCGGCTTACGAGCTGCTCTTTCATAGAGCCATGGGGTTTGCTCCCTTTGGTGATTACTGGAGAGAACTGAGGAGGATCTCTTCCACCCATCTCTTCAGCCCCAAGAGAATCTCCGGCTTTGGCGAATCCCGTAAAAACATTGGACAAAACATGGTGAAGGAGATCAAGAGTTCAATGGAAAATTTTGGACAAGTGCAGATAAGAGAGATCTTGCATTTCGGATCACTCAACAACGTGATGTCTAGCGTTTTCGGTAAAACGTACAACTTCAACGACGGTATTGTCTACTCAAAAGAGAGCAATGAGTTGAAGCATTTGGTGTCCGAAGGCTATGAGCTTCTGGGAATCTTCAACTGGAGTGATCACTTCCCTGGAATGAGATGGTTAGATTTACAAGGCGTGAGGAGAAGATGCCGTAGTTTGGTCTGTAAAGTGAATGTCTTCGTTGGTAAGATAATCAATGACCACAAATCAAAGAGGTCTCTACGTGATAATCAAGGAGAGAGCACTTATGATGATGACTTTGTCGATGTCTTACTTGGCATGCACGACAACAACAAACTTTCTGACTCCGATATGATCGCCGTCCTTTGGGTATAATAACGAGTATATGCATATATATACATATATCGGTTAAGTAGTAATTAACCTAGTCTAAACATTTTGTTTTTGTTTTGTATAGGAAATGATTTTTAGGGGAACAGACACGGTGGCGATTCTATTGGAATGGATTCTTGCGAGGATGGTTCTTCATCCTGACATTCAAGCCAAGGCTCAGACCGAGATCGATGCTATCATGTGTGACTCGGGACGTCAAGTCTCAGACTCAGACCTCTCCAAGCTTCCATACCTTCGTGCCATTGTCAAGGAAACCCTAAGGATGCACCCACCTGGTCCTCTCCTCTCATGGGCTCGTCTATCCATTCACGACACTCAGATCGGGAGTCACTTTATCCCCGCTGGAACCACGGCGATGGTTAACATGTGGGCTATAACCCACGATGAAAAAGTCTGGCCGGAAGCTCATGAGTATAAACCAGAGAGGTTTCTTGGTGCTCAAGAAAATGATAACTTCCCCATCATGGGATCTGATCTGAGGCTTGCTCCCTTCGGTGCTGGACGTAGGGTCTGTCCCGGCAAGTCGATGGGCTTAGCCACCGTGGAGCTATGGCTAGCTCAGCTGCTAGGAAATTTCAAGTGGGTTCCATGTGGTGAAGTGGATCTGAGCGAGACTTTGAAGCTATCTTTGGAAATGAAAAACACTCTTGTCTGCAAGGCAATCCCTAGGGTCTAAAGTAGGGTTTCATAGACTATAAAAAGATCATGCAACTTTGGGGTTGTCTTATTTCCCATGTGAGATGTCTTTAATTAGTGACTTTCTTTTCTTTTTTTGTCACCACATCCAAAATAATTATAGTCTTGAAAGTTTAAGTACCGGATTTGATATATATAAAAGTCAAATCAATAAAAATTCAGATGTTAATCAATCATGCTATATTGACATTTTTTTCAATTGAAATCGTGACACTTATATTTAACAAAAACATACAAATGCATTGATTTACTAGTTATTATATCAGAGTTTTAAAATTTGGTTTTTCTTGTTGTTATAGTACAACAAATAGCCGATACATATTACTTTGTAGATAGCTCTGCAAGTCAAATTCAAATCAAAATAGAAGGGGAAACTAAACTATCTTTGAATTGTGGAAATATGGCTAACCTTGTATGCGCGCATTTGGGTCACACCTAAACAAACTTGTGTGCTATGTGAAACGAGACAACATGTTTTTCGTTTACTATGGGCTTTTGACAACAGTTTGATCAGTTACACACATAAATTATACCATACAAGTAGATACACATATGGGCTTTTAATGGACCGGACTGCCGAGCCTTTAAAAGCGGAGGCTTTGTAAGTAAGTACGTACAATTGAAGAATGGTCGACAAAAAGATATATCCAGAAAGTAGAATGGTTGGAAGCTGCACGACCGAACTCAGTTACGGAGCCAGACCAAGTGACCGACCAACACAAGCCTCCCTACCTGCTAACTTCCATTTCTAAAACGTGATCTTTTTTTTTGTTTATTGTTTTTTTACCAACAACCACTTTTTCTCTCCTTACCATTTCTTCTTTTACACAATTACTTGCTTACTTTCATTGTTACATACAAATACATAAAAACTACTTTAACGATTTACACAAGTGTTAAATAAAGTTTTCAATATGACTTGCGACAATAAAACAAAATCCAATTTTACCAACTCAAGACGGAATTTTTATAAGGCTTAAACCGATTACTTATTAATAAACAACTAAACTCTAGTATAATTTTGTTGTTTCAATTCAACTGATGTTGACCATTATCGAGCCATCACCAGTCACCACCTACCTAAATTTTTCCTTGTATTATAAAACCCTTTTCTCATCTTCCAAGAATCTCAGTCCAACTTCTACTACTCTTATTAACAAAGCTTCCCGTTACTCGAGTTCATCCGCAATGGCATCAAAGACGGCCCAGAACGGAGCCGAAGCTGAGCTCACAGAGTTCGAGAAAACCCAGAAGAAGTACCAAGGTTTCATCGCTACACTTCCAAAGAGCAAAGGCTGGAGACCCGATGAGATCTTAACCCAATATGGCGGACACTGGTGGCAAGAATGTCTCCTCGAAGGTCTTTTCCACGCTAAAGACCATTTCGAAGCACGACCCACTGATTTCCTCGTCTGTAGCTACCCAAAAACCGGTACGACTTGGCTCAAAGCCTTAACTTACGCAATCGTGAACCGTTCTCGTTTCGACGACGCTACGAACCCACTTCTCAAACGTAACCCTCACGAGTTCGTGCCTTACGTTGAGATAGATTTCGCGTTTTATCCAACCGTTGATGTTCTTCAAGACAAAAAGAACACGCTTTTCTCTACCCATATCCCAAACGGGTCATTACCCGATTCGATTGTGAACTCGGGTTGCAAAATGGTTTACATATGGAGAGACCCAAAAGACACTTTCATTTCCATGTGGACTTTCTTACACAAGGAGAAGTCTCAAGAGGGTCAGTTAACGAGTCTTGAGGAGAGCTTTGATATGTTTTGTAAAGGTTTATCTGTGTACGGTCCTTATCTGGACCATGTGTTAGGTTATTGGAAGTCTTACCAAGAGAATCCGGATAGGATTTTGTTCCTTAGGTACGAGACCATGAGAGCTAATCCTCTGCCGTTTGTGAAGAGACTGGCTGAGTTCATGGGTTATGGCTTCACTGCTGAGGAAGAGGGGAAAGGTGTTGCTGAGAAAGTGGTGAAACTTTGCAGCTTTGAGACGTTGAAGAATCTTGAAGCTAACAAAGGAGATAAAGAAAGAGAGGATCGTCCTGCTGTTTATGCCAATAGCGCCTATTTTAGGAAAGGAAAGGTCGGAGATTGGGCTAATTATCTTACTCCCGAGATGGCTGCTCGTATCGATGGTCTAGTGGAGGAGAAGTTCAAAGATACTGGCTTGCTTCAACATGATAATTGAATGTTTTATCTTTAAATTTCTTCTAGTCCTTTTGTTTATTTGGTGCGGCGGAACAGAGGATGCTCTGTTTTGCTCTGTTTGTTTCTGTGTTCTCATTAGTATCTGCATCATCTTCTTAATAACAAGAGAAAGATACTTCAATATATGATCCTAGATACTTGAGTTAGTAGGGAGAAATTCAGATTCCATTTTTTATGATCACAAACAAAAAAAAGATTGTAAGAAAGCAATTTTTGAAATCCAAGTAGGATTTGGCTGTGGTTACACAGCTGACTCGACAATGATGATAAATAATGCCACTAGAAAGCCAATTCCTTTGATAGAAACAATACAGTTGGATAAACAGAACAATATTTATTCTTTCAATATATATAGCTTATTTATTACATTATAGACTCAAATTATAACATGAGGAGCTAGCAAACTTCTGCTGTGAACAAAGCATATAAGGATCAGTCATTGTTCGGAATTAACAAGAACCAGTCACTTACCATGCTCAAGCAGACCGGTGCCCTTAAATTTCTCTTCCATTATGCCATCGATACGAGCTGCCATCTCTGGAGTCAGATGATTTGTCCAATCTCCCACCTTTCCTTTCCTGAAATAAGCGCTGTTCGCATAAACACCAGGACGATCCTCTCTGTCTTTCTCTCCTTTGTTAGCTTCAAGATTCTTCAATGTCTCGAAGCTGCAAAGAGTCACCACTTTCTCAACAACACCTTTCTCCTCTTCCTCAGCAGTGAATCCATAACCCATAAACTCAGCCAGACTCTTCACGTACGGCAAAGGATCAGCTCTCATAGTCTCGTACTTGAGGAACAAAATCCGATCTGGATGTTGTTGGTAAGCTTTCCAATACGCCAGGACATGATCAAGGTAAGGACCGTACCCACACAGACCACGACAGTACATATCAAAAGACTCCTCAAGATTGCTGACAGGTCCAAGATCTGTCCTGTCCTTGTGAATAAAAGTCCACATGGAGATGAAAGTGTCCTTTGGGTCTCTCCAGATGTAAACCATCTTACAACCCGATTTCACAACCGAATCAGGTAATAACTCGTATGGGATATGAGTTGAAAACAGAGTGTTTCCTTTGTCTTTGAGAACATCAACTTCAGGGAAGAAAGGGAAATCGATCTCAATGTAAGGAACAAACTCGTGAGGGTTACGTTTCAGGAGGGGATTGGAGGAATCATCGAAGCGGGATCGATTAGCGATGGCGAAAGTCAAGGCTTTGAGCCAAGTGGTACCTGTCTTTGGGTAGCTACATACGAGGAAGTCACTTGGCCGCGCTTGAAAGAACTCTTGAGCGTGGATACAACCTTCGAGGAGAGGCGGTAGCCACCAGTAACCACCATACTCGATCAGGGGCTCTTTCGCTCTCCAGCCTTTCTCGTGAGGAAACGTGGAGATCAGGTCTTGGTACCTTTTCTGATTCTTCTCGAACTCTGTTAATTCTATCTTGGACTCGTCGTGGTTCGGTAAGGTCGAGCCCGTGCCGGTTAGGGTTTCTGGTTCCATTGGGGATAGAGAAAGATGATTTGAAAGACTTGAGCGGAGTTCAGTGGGAGATGAGTGATGGATGATGATGCATGTTCTGTGTTTGGACAAAGATCAGATTGGCTTTAGTAATGAAGCTATTTTTTTACTCACGTGTTATTATGTGATTTGCAGGTTGTTGATTTGGTGCGCACATGCTTAAAGCAGAAAAGAACACTCAAAAGAGTATATATATAACAAATATATAATTTGTTAATTTATAAATGCACTTCTTCGTAATTGGAAAATTATATTAAAAAATAGGCCAAGTATAATTATTTTGTCTTTTTTTTTTTGACATCACTTCTTTTGTTTCATCTACTCAACCATCATAAACTACAACTCTTCACTGGCAGAAATCTGAATTTCCTGCCTTTCTAAAGATCTATAATTAATATATATTGCATTGCATACGAATCAGTCTGCTTAATTAAGTATTTATGATATCTTATATCTACTTTATTAATGGCTTAATTGATGAAATACAAACTCATTTAAGTGTCTCAAGTACCTGTCCCAGTAAGGTTCATACTCATCCGTTGCATCATGCATGCATGCTTTAGCCATGGTTTCCTGTTCCCTTTGTAGTGTCAACCGTGCTCTTGATCATCCTATTAGAGATGTCCATATCACAACATAAGCCCAAGACATGCCATGGTGTGGCTTGGTGAGAGTGAGACCATAGCATACATACAAATTGATCTGCCTGCAACACGTTAGGTCCACCATTAATACAGTCTATTTTGTTTCACATAGAGTTTGGTTAGTCAGTTCAGTTCAACTTTTTTTTTTAAATATAATTTAACATTTAAAAAAAAAACTTGTGTGAAGACTAACTTTATAAAACGAAATGATCCATAATATTATATGAACATATATAGCTTTTTAAAATTCGTAATGAAATTTATTATTAACCGAGTCTTGTAAGTTTTGAGTAGACTATTTTGCTGGTACGTAAATCAAGTACGACAAAAAAAGATATACACAAGGAAGAAGTAGAATCCTCCATTCTGTTGAGGAAGGGTCGGGGTAGCATACAGTATAGGACATTTGATGGTGGTTTCACGTTTACATTTTTTATTGTTATATAATATTATTTCATTATGATTGTCTACTGAACTCGAGTTGGAACAAGAAATGGAATCAAGCATATAACTTTTGGGAATATTAAGTATATGTTTATTAATTAATTATAAACAAAATAATTAGCTTTAAAATAATCCCATAAACAGTCAAGTGGGAGAGGATCAGCCAATGTTGAAAGATCGATATTTTACGAAATAATTAAAAATCATGCAAACGTACGTTACGTTGAGTCATTAATTAACATATCTTAAGTTAGGGAAACTAGGTCATGGATTTTAACAGAAAAACAAAATCACGGCATGGATCATTGAAAAGTCAAGTAACACACACAACGTGACCACTGACTAATTTGTGATCAACGATTTTTCATAATTGCTTTGACTTCTCCTCAACGATTTTGTGACCATCAGCTTTATCCACATCTCAATATAATATCCAACATGTTATTTTCTTAAATCCCAACTCTTTCGGTTATTTACATGTATTATATATACGTATATAGCTCAGTTGAACACAAACTGTGTTTTAGAAATAAGTTCGTATTCGACGATCAGATCCATCTAAAACAAGATTTTCTTCTAAACAGTAAAGATACTATGATCTATTCGTTTTCTTGGGGATTTCTACTAACAGATTTTGAAGATTCAGCATTTTTATTTCCCTAAACGAAATTAAACCGTGGCCACTTCGACTATATCAAATGGTTATCATCGTTTAAGCGGTTGTAGACATGAATACAAAAAAAAAAAAAAAAAAAAAAGAACAGTCTATCTGGCGAAAAAGTATTAATCCGTTATCCATGTACCATATATATATATAAATAGTTGTTTGGGGAATTACAAAAGATCATTGGTAATTAAGAACAGTTTGATCAGCAAAAGGATCATATACAAGATTGGTCATACTGTGTAGTGTGTACATGATGAAATACAATACAACTAATTGGTCAAACCAATCAGGGCGATTAGTTCAAAATTTTGTTTGCAACCTAACCGTGCTTCCATTATGGGATTTTTCGATTAGTATTTTTTTTTTTTTATGCGAGTGTGAGAACTAAGTTTAAGCAGGCCGTTAACGAAACATATATCCCTAAAGTTTAAGCAGTCACATTATTTATGTATATTCATATCAATTAAAAGGATTTTTTGGGAGAGAAAATGTATTTAAAAATCCAACTTACTATATATTTCAAGAACAAAGTAAATTGTAGTATTCGTTGTAAATCCGCTTGTTTCACGAAAATTCTTACAAACTTTTAAGAAGATAAAAAGGAAAAGGGGGAAAAAAAAGGTGAGGAGTTGATAGATGCTCTCACGTTTAGCCTAAAATAAAAGAGTATAATGATTGTTTGTATAATCAGATTGTTCGCCTATATCTTTACCTTATCTTTTCCAGATTTTTCATCTTTCTTCTTTATCTTCTTTCATCTTCACATTTAACAATGCCAACAAAATCTTTGTTTTGGAACTCGGAACTGGAAACGTCGATTTATAGTCGAGATTCGAAATTCCTGCCATCAACGATATTCACACCAGATTTTTCAACGATTATTAAATGTTTTAAACATATGTATGTCCACGAAATTATTGTCCACAAGATTATTTTGTCCATGAAATGTAAATCTACTTATTATCGTCTGTTTGTTCCATGATATACTTTGTTTTAAAGAACAAATAAAAACAGTTTAATTATATTTATGTTATAATTAATGTCTATGATAGAATAATTATTGTCTACGATATATTATAATATGGTTTTTACTCTATACTATATATAATTGTTGTATATATCATCTAGATATTGTTTTTAATCCATGTTATGTATATTTATTGTCTACAACAATTATTGTGTCTATAATATAATTGTTGTTGTCTACGATATACTTAAACTATGGACAATATCTGAACATGTTTATTTTCCTGAAGGGCAAAATCGTCCAATCGAACATACCACTACCACACAAATGTGGTACTCGCCGAAACAATTCAAAAATGTGGTAGATGCAGTAATGGACCCACAACATTGTGGTAGATAGTTTAAAATTCCCTTTTTTCTTTTTCTTTTGAATAAATGCCTAATTAATGTAATTTGAAAGACTTACATTTTCTTGTAGTCGACTTTATGAAAACATTTGTTTTAAACTTTTAAGTGAGCTATGAACATTTTCAAAATAATTTGTCAAATTAAATGAATGGCACTTTAACTCGAGCTATTCAACCAAGTTACAGTAGATCAATTGCATGGAATTGTGCAACTAATCAAATCCTACCTTAGTCAGACTCCGAAAACGAATAATGGTACCGTGCAAGTAAAATGAGTAATCAACCTCCGAAATGAATAATGGAACTGTGCAACTAATCAAATCCTACCTTATATATCCTAGCTAAATTATTATGTTCAGTCAAATATAATAATATTATGCGAAGCGCGATTAAATCTAAAAAAGCCAGAGCAAATTAAACTCTAATTAATTTACTTGTCATTTTTCACCATCATCATCTTCATAAAGAATACTAATTTCTCGACAGTTATATATATACTCATCCAAAATAGTTGTCTATCCCTTCAAATGAGTCATCAACTTCACTGGTCGGCGTCACTAAACATCGTCTCCATTTAATCCTCTTGAAGAATCATTGTAAGTTCCCTCATGAACGATGTGTTCTCCAAACAAGACCCATCCAACATCAAGAACTCTTCACCATCGTGCGATACAACATTACTCAAAAATCTTGATGAAATCAGTCTCGTCGTATCTTCAATGTCACCGAAGATATCATCATACAAAAAGAGATCTGAGGAGTCAGAGCACGTGGACGAGGACAAAGGTGTTGTTGCATCAACATTTATACTTTGGTTAGTGAGTAGATCCGAAGAGGTTGGTGTGGACGAAGAACTCGTTGACCTCTCGCATTCAGAAGAACTTATAATAGGAGTAGCATGACTAGTAAGTGAGCCACCACTTCCAATAATATCAGATAGAACACTCTGGCTGACTCTCTGACCAAATCTGTTAGCTACTTTGTTCAAGAACCGAGCTGATGATCTAGATGACTTATTGTCTTTTGACTTTTGATCATCTTTTTCCTGATGAACGGTGCTTTTCTCCTCTAGGTTATCGAGAAGGGATTTGTGGGTGACGGGATCTATACCTTTCTTGATCAGACGCTTCTTGATGTGAGTGTTCCAATGGTTTTTGATCTCATTGTCTGTTCTTCCTGGTAACCTACGAGCTATGGCCGACCATCTGATATAAATAAATAAATGATTAGCAAATGTGTATATACCAAATCTTCATTACAGCATCACTGGATGAAAGATACATCTTGTGAGGATATCATTAAGGTTTATTGTGAAATCAAATATTCTAAATTTACAACAAAAGATTCGTTTTTCGTTCGTTTGTTTGAGCAAGTGAAACTAATTAAGATATATATCGAACCATATATATGCATATACATTTATTTTGGTGTGAAACATTTGAACTCTATATTATTGTCCTTAGACATGTCGTAGTCATTATAGTTAAAACGAAAAGAAAAAAAAAACATACTTGTTGCCATGTACTGCATGGAGGTTGATCATGGAATCTTCCTCTTCTTGGCTAAAATCTCCACGCTTAATATCAGGTCTTAGGTAATTCGCCCATCTCAGTCTGCAGCTTTTGCCACATCTTTTGAGTCCTACAAAGTTATTCATAATGCAAAGGTAAGCTGATTGAAAAGTCTGATCGATTTAATAATTAGTTTTCGAAAAGAATAACAAAGAGTACTGGAGAAAGGTTACATATATATATACCAGCTTTATCAGGAAGGGTTCTCCATCCTCCTTCACCGTGTCTTTGAACATGGGCGATAAGCTTTTGGTCTTCTTCTTGAGTCCATACTCCTTTCTTCAACCCTTCTGCTCTACAGCACGGCGTCCGTACCATTCTTGATTCTTAATTAGAAAGTAATAATAGAGGCTAGCTAGAGTCGTACGTATAGGCGCCAAAAAGAGAGATTTTATTGTTTTGAGATTATATGGATGGATCATACAAAGAAAGAACTGGATATTTAATATTTTGATAAGAACATTAAGACAGCTTATCGAAATTTTGCCACTCCTCTCAGATACTCTACTTCTTTTTGTTGTGTTTTCCCCTCTTTCTCAATTTATGTTATTTTGTGTGTTTGAGATGAAGAAGACGAAGAAGACGAAGACGAAGAAAACAAAGATAAGAGAGAGCTTTTGGTATGTTGTGTGTTTTCTCACTTTGGCTGGCAAGTGAGAAAATTTGAGGAAGGAGGATAGCTTTTTATAGTAAGCGATGAAGCGTACTGGTTCGTGTGCAGCCGACGGCGTAGATTGAAAGTGATTGACACGTGCAATTCAAGTGGAACAGGAGGAATTTGAGATGGAGGTTCTTTTACGTATCTTTCATTTTCTTTGTTATTTAGCCATTTATTTATATGTCTCTTTTCAAAAATAAAACATAATTTTAAAATTATAATAGCTAGAAAAATGTGAATAGACAAATCTAATCCCTAACATTAATCAGATGGAAATTTCTGGCCTCTTGGTTTTCTAATTTAGTTCTTCTTTCCGTTTCATTAAAAATATCGTTTAATTTTTTCTTTTTTAACTCTTAGTATCGTTTAAAGTTTTTATATTTGTTTTATAAAGAGAATCATTTTGTATTTGCATTGCATTTTTTTAAAAAACTTCCATTTATCCATATTATTTCAGCATCTTAATAAAAAAAATATAATATTTTAATTTGTGTTTAATATGTTAATCTAATATTTGTCGTGGAAGGATAAATTATTCTTTTATACTGTTTTCAACAAAACTGATTTGACCCAAATTTAAATAATATATAATTTGATAATTATTGAAAAAAATCTGGTTTGAATGAGAAAAAGAGACTATAGATATCAATTGTCAAAAAGGGACCTATTAAATATCTCACGTTAACATCATAATTTGGATCACACGAAATGGATATAATATAAGAGAATTCTCTTAAATATCATAAAAACATGTTTTTTTTTTCAAAATACCATTACAAATATTTTCTAAAAATACTACTAAAATATTTTTTCCAAAAATATCACAAAACTAAAACTAATATTTATAACATTCAAAACTAATTTATAAATCCTAAACACTAAACCATACCTCTAAAAATTATAACCTATATATAAACAGTCAACTTAAACATTAAAAAAAAATTCAATTCTACAGCTTCAAAAATCAACTTTTTGTGTTATTTTTGAAAATAAAAATAAATTATGATATTTTTGGAAAAAGACTAAAATATGATACGTAAGGGAATTTTTCTAAAAATACTGAACAAAGGTACAAAATTTTGGATCATTTATTGGACAAGTCACAATACAGTAATTCTCCCATGCTGATCGCTTCGATCGGAACATCGTGAATAAATGCAATTTACTTTGTCATATTTTCTCATCGGTCTTTTACTCTTTACTTTTCAAAACGAATCAATCAAGTTTTTTTTTTTTTTTTGGAAACTTACGAATCAGTCAAGTTAAAAATAAAGTAAAATAGTAAAAAATGGAATCAGTCATCAGAGTATAGTATTATAGTAGCTATTACGTACGGTTAAAATTTGTCAAAAAGTCATATTTCACGAGGCGTGGAATTTTTCTAAAAAAAAGTTGACCTTGAGGTTCACAAAACGTTAGATCCAAACGAAAAAATAACAATATCTCATGCGAAAAAGAGTACGTGTAACGTATTATTGTCGGGATAAAATCAACAGTAAAAGAAGGAGTGCGAGACTATTCTAAGGAAAAATAAGATTGTGGAATTTTAATAAAACATTATTATAACAAAGCGGTCTCAACCAAATACTTTGGCTTGCATATATCCGTCTGTTAGACGAAAACTGAAAATTCGAGGAAAGTGATAAATAAAATGGTAAGCTAACAATACGGTCGGATTTTTGCATTTGATATTAGAAAAAAAACAAAACAAAACTAGACAACTTGGTCGCTCAAAACATTGGACCTGGACAGCATTTTATCTGAATCAAAATACCCACAAACATGGAAAGAAACGAATTAGTATAACTTTGACAAAAAAAAACAAAAATTAGAAAGAGAGCCGTTTTGTTGATTAGTATAACTTTCCTACTTTATAATTTTCAACGGTTAGACTAATTAACAACAACTCATTATTTGCTTACTAAACTGATCAGATAACACAGTATACTCAATTAGCTCATTCATTACTACCTACTACTACTCACTAGACAGACGACTTGCAGTTGCAGTGTCCAATGAGCCCGTCACTACAAAAGACATGCAAGTACTGTTCCGATATATATATACACGTACGTACGATAATATGTAGCATCGTAAGTGTAGTAAAACAAACAATACGTTCCACGATTTTATCCACGGCCAGCCTGGTTTCTCGGAGGCTAAATGAAGAGAAAATTAGATGGACTCCTCTTAAAACATGATGCTCCAACTTATTATCTCTTGTAATGTTTATCTCACGTAATTAAGCCTGAACTAATAATGATCTTTTCTTTTCTTTTGTACTTTGTAGTTATTGTTTTGGCCCTGATCGACCATAATTACTTTTTTTTTTAAAACAGAGTTTTATGCAAAGCGAAAAAGTTGACCTAATTAAAAAAAAATTATTATTTGGCATCTTCCGTGCGAGATAAATAGTACTAGCAAATAGCAAATAGCAACTGTGAAGCAACATACCGAGGCTTATTTGGAGGCTTATTTGTCGATCAAATAAAACACAACCAAAGCGACTTCAATTTTGTTTTTATTCAGAATATTACAAGAGTAATAGGTAGATGCAACAATGCACTTGCAAGTGATTTTCCAAAAAGCTACCAAACTCTTTGACATAACTAACAGACTAACAGTTCAGTTCTTCCAACTAACCGCCATAGACCACAGTGGAGTAGTAATCTGAGTCTCTTACTTGGTTGACCGGAGTATCAAGTATAACTTCTAATGGTCATGGGCTTTGTATTGGGCCTTAGTTTGGGAAGAATAATAAATTGAGGAAGTTTTGATATAAATAAAGGAATCTGATTTGGTTATTACGTTTGTGTGCCATGAAATGGTCATGTATATATATATATATGGCTGGCTCACTTTCAATTCCTTATCCAGGAAATCCAGTTTCACTATCTAATGTATCTTCCTCCACCAATGACATTGTTATTAACAAACGGATTCACTCATATTCATCATCAGCTAGACAAAATATGATGCTCCGCAATGCAAAACTGTTGTCCCCTTCCGCTAAGTTTCAACCGTCCTCTATAGAGCCACCGCAGAACAGCCGGAGAACCACCGTCGGAACGTCTCCGTCGTCTTTGGAACGAAACTGCAAATTATCACGACGGAATCTAAGTAAATCCTCGTTACTTCTACTCCTCGGTACTCAAACAGCTCTGACGCCATTGCTCGACTTCTCCAAAGCTCAAGCAGCAGATACACCTATTAATAATCCCAATCCCACAAATTGCGTAGACAGAGTAAGGAAAATGTTGATTTCAGTTTCAATTTTTCTCATTCTTTTCGATTTATACTTTAAATTTTCGATTTCTTCCCCAAAATTAAGGTTCCGACTAAGAAAGCGTTCATTGATGTATCGATCGATGGAGAACCAGTGGGAAGGATCATAATCGGATTATACGGAGACGATGTGCCGGCGGGAGCAGCTAGATTCAGCAGCATAGTGAGCGGGAAAGCCGGGATAAGTTACCGGAGAAAAGAGTTCGTGAAGATCATGCCAGGCTACGTCCAGCACGGCGGGATCAGATCGTACGGCGTTGACGCCGAGCGAGCCACCGCCGCGGTCGGGAGTCTACAGAACTTAATCGAAGAGTGGGAGAGAGGGAGAAGAGGAGAGATATGTAACGAGAATAGGGCGGGAAGTGTAGGGATAGTGGTGAGGGATCCGTCGAAGCCGCCGCCGAAGACGAAGCTTGTGGCGAGGAATGGGAAGTTTGTGGTGGAGGAAGAGGTTAACGCCGTGGGACCAAACGGAACGGAGTTTGTAATAACGGCTGTGGATTCGCCGGAGCTGGAGGACTCGGTGTTGGTCATTGGCAAGGTTTTGGAAGGAATGGGAGTTGTGGACAAGATTAGACAAGTTAAGACTGTTAGGGATAACACTTCTTCTCCTTATTTCAGGTACACATTATTATTGACCCTTGGATTTGAATTGTGTTTTTCTTTTTTGAGATCAAGGGTTAAGATTGTGGTTCTTGTGAATAGGGTGGCTAAAGTGATCGGAGATAAGAGAGCCGTGGTGGCGGAGAGAGGTTTTAATCGGCCTTATTCAAAGGTTGTAGTTACCAGTTGTGGTTTGATAGAGTCACAGTCTCTATGATGAGCTCATGTTCTACGCAGGGTTCTTTTTTTTTTTTTTTTCTTTTTTCTCAACTCAACAAACTGCTCCAATCGTTCAGCACATCGGAAAATTGCAGCCATGGTTGTTGGCGGAACTATATATGTAGTATATATTATCAAATGAGAAATTATAAGCGTGATAAGAAATTGTTGTCTTTGGCCATAGCATATTGCCATATTCAACAGTCTGCTTCAATCGTTCAACATTGTTTAAACCACATAGAAAGTTGCAGCCATGGTTGTTGTTATTGGAACTATATTATCATATAAGCGTGTGACGAGAAATCAAACCACATGGAAAGTTGCAGCCATGGTTGTCCTTGTCTTTACATTCTCCATAGAGGCATAGACCATTCAATTGGATTGCTGGGGCTGGATTGGATATTGAAAAACTTAAGGATTATTTCCAACAACTTCCAATATGAATCCATGTTATGTGACATAACAACATTACACATACACAAAAACATTGTCTTTTGGTCCGCAATAAAAGCCCAATATGACCCTAAAGCCCACGACGAGCCCACGCTATCCCTATCTTCTTCTGCGACACTCCCGCATCCAACATTCTCAGCCCGAAAATCTATTGATTCTCTTGTCGACAGATAGAAAAGAACTATGCCGGCGAAGCAGAGGACACCTAAGGTCAACAGGCCGTGGATGCAGCTTCGATCAAAGCCATTGAAGCAGTTCCAGAGTTAGAGATTTACCTTGGTGCAAGGTTTTCACTGAAACAAGGAATGAAGCCCCATGTGCTTGTTTTCTAGGTTTCATAACCTTTTTCTGAGGTTTCTAGAGTATCTGTCTCCTGAAATTTTACACTCTAAAGGGTTGGTTCTGTTCTCACCCATTGGCCAGACACAAATTTTTGGCTGCTGCTATCTGGATTTTTGTTCTACATATGGATAATCTATCAATCTTGTTTTTGAATGTGTGCGATCTTAAATCAATGAAAAACAGTTCAAATCAAGTAATCGTTAAGAAATGATAAAACTCGTGATAAGGTAACGAGATGTGTTTGAAGAATTGAAAAAACCATTTCGATGATGCTAATAGTTAGCTTACATTTTACTTCGGATGTTGATACTCTTATTACTAGTCTAACACACACACGCACCAAGATCAAGCTGGAGGTGCTTCTAGACGAGCTTGATCATTATCTTTAGGTGTTTCTTTACCAGCACAATCAGCAACTTTAGCTCCGGCCTCAACATCTCCGGCCAAACACCTTCTCCATCTTCGCCTCAGCCATCCTAAAATCCCACCACTCTTAATCATCTCCAACGGATTGACTTCAGCCACCGAAACAGTACTCTGGCGGCGCCGTGCGCATATACGACCCAAGAAGCAGGAGAGAACTGCAAGAACGACGAGAACAGAGATGACTGCGAAGAAGGGTCCAATGGAGCCGGAGGAGTAATGGTTTGGAGCGTTTGGTGCTGCAATTAGATTGGCATTGGTAGCTGCAGGTTCGAGCTCATTTCCTCCTAATTGCTGTTGCGTTTGTTGTTGGGTAGGAAACAACGACGAGCTGCTGCTACTACTAGCCATAGCTATTAAATGTAATGATGTTTTTTGGTTCTTGGACTCTTTAGTTATGGTATATCTGGGACTGGGAGTGATATATAGAGGCATGTGCACATGAACATTGGTCTTTTTTAAGAGCTTTTGAGCCGACCAATGTTTGTTGAAGAACGACATGTAAAGGTGAATAAAAGGGAGAAATCCTCATCAGCTTCATCAAAAGCTTCTCAACTTATAATAGTAAAGATATATATATGATCCATTGCACTCTTAGAGGTGAAGCAAACGTTGACTTTTGTAGTTTGATCTGATTTTACAAAGATTTACTTTAGTTTAGAAGTCATTATACTATTGATTAAAAGTTATAAAAATACCAGAATTTTACATTATTGATGTAAGTTCCAAAATACACAGCTATTATTTGTTTTAAATTTGTGAGTTTGAGTTTGAGTTTGAGTTTTGAGTGTTTCTTTGTGTAAAATCAAAGTTTATGGTTACCAAGAAATTAAACAAAAACAGTACCAATTAAGAAATCAAATCCTATTATTGTATGTCACGGTCCACATTAAAAGCCCGATCTAATTCAAGCCCACGAGTTTGGTAAAATTCAATTAGGGATTCTTTGTCTTCAAGACTTCAACTGTACCTATCCTCCGCCTCAACTCTCCCTCCCCCCTTCACTACTCTCAGCCGGGAAAAATTCTTGATTCATCTCGACAGAGAGAACCATGCCGGCAAAACAGAGGACGCCGAAGGTGAACAGAAACCCTGATCTGATCAGGGGAGTTGGAAAATACTCGAGATCCCAGATGTACCATAAGAGGGGTTTGTGGGCAGTCAAGGCCAAGAATGGAGGCGTTTTCCCCCGCCACGATGCTAAATCAAAGGTCGATGCTCCGGCGGAGAAGCCACCGAAGTTCTATCCAGCTGAAGATGTTAAGAAACCTCTTGCTAACAGGCGCACGCCAAAACCTACCAAGCTCAGGTACTTTAGCTGTTGATACACTGTATCCTAGCTCGACACAGTTTCTTCTATGTGTTTGGTTGATTTGCTGAAAGGGTTATATGTGAGATTTGAATATCTGCCGGAAAGGTGACAAATTTGTGCATCATTTGTCTCATGGTATTTTTTGGAGAATTTGTGGAAATGCATTGGTTTATGAAGATTACAATGTTCTCTGCCTTGATTTGGTTACGCCATTTGACAAGTGGGGTTAATAATATTTGAATTGTAGATCAAGCATCACACCAGGGACTGTGCTGATCATCCTTGCTGGTAGGTTCAAGGGCAAGAGAGTTGTTTTTCTGAAGCAACTTCCCTCTGGTTTGCTTCTTGTGACCGGTGAGTTTTATCTTCATCTGCTCTCTTGATTGCCACAGTCTATTCTCCATTTGGACAACTCTCATCCACTATATTTTCGTATGTCTTTTGTTTGGATCTCAAGTTTTCCTCTTCTGTTATTGATCTTCAGGACCTTTCAAGATCAATGGTGTTCCTTTAAGGTGTGTTAACCAGGCCTATGTGATCGGCACTTCCACTAAGGTTGACATTTCTGGAGTCACCCTTGATAAATTCGATGATAAGTACTTTGGCAAGGTTGCTGAGAAGAAAAAGAAGAAGGGAGAAGGAGAGTTCTTTGAGGCTGACAAAGAGGTATAATAATCATTGGAAAGTTACAATAATCATTGCTTGATCAGAAAGAGGTTTTATATCGCATTTTAAATTGAACGCCAATTCATGTTGATTATTACAGTCTGTTCCAGAAGAATGGACAACATGAAAGTTTCTCTTCCTTGTCGTTGTTGACCAAAATTGAAATCATATGCTTGACTTAACATCTTTTTTTTTTTTTTTTTAACTATCACAGGAGAAGAAGGATATCCCACAAGGGAAGAAAGATGACCAGAAAGCCGTGGATGCATCTTTGATCAAAGCCATTGAAGCAGTTCCAGAGTTGAAGATTTACCTCGGAGCAAGGTTTTCATTGAAACAAGGAATGAAGCCCCATGAGCTTCTTTTCTAGGTTTCATAACCTTTTTTGAGTCTTCAGAGTATCTGTCTCCCGAAGTGTTTCACCTTCTTAATGGTTGTTTTGTTCTTGTTCACTGATCAGAAACATCAAATTTTTGTCTTATACCTTCTATATTTTCTGTTTTTACATATGGATAAACTACTGAACTTTTTTTCAATAGAGACTTAAATTATGTTATAGCTGCTATGAACTCAAACAAACGTATCAGATACCAAAATCATCCACCGATTCTATTAGTTCAACTGTAAGAGCCTAGATAATCTTCGGTTTGATGGATAGTCTCCTTGAGAAACCAAGCCATGGCAAGACTGATGCAGGAAAGGACTAGAGTACGATAAAGAAACATTGAGAGGTATTTCCATTGATGAACAATGGCTTTTAAGATGCTTAGTTGGCAGCCTTTGCAATCCAAACAATAATCATAAGAACAGTTGTCTGGAACTTGGTTCCGTTCATACTGATGTTTCCAGCTCCACTCGCCTGGCTTGTCAAACATCGTCACGGTCTCACATCCTACCGGTTGTGCACAGCAATACTTCTGCATATGTATAGCATGTTAGTTTAGTTTCATATTAGTAACATGTCTTTTATTAATAGTAAACAGTTCAAAACTTACCCAAACATTGCTGTTTTTGCTGGCATTGAAATTACAGTCATGGTTGTGAATGATACACGAGGTCACCTTCTTAAACTTCTCCTTCGAGACCAGCCGGCCAAGTAACTATGGCAGGGTGCGGTTGTCCTCGGCCGGATTCTTAGGGATGCCAAAAGCGGTGTTGTAAAGAAAACATTTGATTGAAAAAGAAGATACAATGATCATGACCACAACCATGCCGTAGAAGAAAATATTGAAAAGAAGTTTGGAGCGGCAACATATTCCGTATAGACCGAGCTGCGGAATCAACAGAAGAAACAGACCAATGAACACAAACTGGCCTGAGGTTTCTTGGATGCAAGAAGACACTGTCCTTCTTTGATATAAGACCTGTTCCCATCATTGTGAGGCCTGTAGATATCAAGATTATTGTCGTCATTGTTAGAAATCCAGATAGCACTTCCAACATTTTTTCCCAATTCGGTGAACACGAAGCCTCTTAACTTCGAGAAAATTTGTTATTTGAGGTTCTCTTTATGAACCAAGGAAATGAATACGTAAGAAAATAAACTTTTCTAGCGAAGTTGGTTTCTGTTGTCTTTGGTTTGTTTGTTGGAAGGAAATGAATTAGAATTTAAATCTTGTCTTAGTTTAGTTTATGAGGAAATTAAGATTGTTAAATGATTTTTCCCGTTGTGGCAAATGACGAACTATATATAGAAATGTTGTTCTGTTTCAATGCTAACTTAACCAAATCCCAGGTTTTGACAGCATTTGCTACTTACTGTATATGACTCTTCTTTTATGTCATAACTATTCCAGAAAACCAAAGCCAACACTCATCTTCTTATACATTTAGTACCATTTTCTTTAACGCTAATAAATTAGAAAGCTTTTACTCACCTAGTACAAAAGAAAAGTGTAAACTCTAAATTGTGATTGATCTGAGATTTTGCAGGTTTCAGACAGGGACGTCACTTGCCTCCGAAGATATTTTTCTCAAAGTAGAGGAGTGTTCTTTGAAACCCAACATTTTGTTCAAAGCTCCAACATAAGCTTTAACGCTTGATACTACAATGTCCATCCCTGCTCCGGTTCCACTGTAAGAACACAAACTCAGGGAGACAGAATAATTATTGCTATTCTTTTCTTTAGTTTCAGTTGCTAGAATAGTTTCAACAAGGATGATGAAGAAGATAAAGTGAATTTACCTAAAAGTTCTTTCAACAGATTCACCAGTTATGGCGTTTGTTGATGAGTAGTAGTTGCCTCCGCGGATTAGAACCCGTGTGCTCGCAATAGCATCAATACCTTCTGTTACTGCATTCATCGAGTACTCAAGTAGAGTCGCGGGTTCCTGAATATGAAATCCAATGATCAGCATTAGATAAGTACTCATTGATATTAATACGTATATAACCCTCAATCCTAGCGGAAGAAGTACCTTAACGATAAGATCAACTGCCTTATAAGCTGCATCTACAGGTCCAGTTCCAATAGAACAAGCTACATGCTCTTTGCCATCGGAATCCGAAAGTTTTACCGTTGATGTTGAGAGACCGAGAGTTCCACAAGTTATCTACATTCCCAACTTCGATAATCAGAATTAGAATTGACTGAAGAAGAAAATAGAGAGAGAGAAAACAAATCCAAGCTCCAGTTTTCACCTGTATGTCCAAAAGTTTCCATACTGCCTCTGGCTGAAACACTTCATCAGATACTAAAGCTATTAAGTCTGCATCGGTAACTCTCTGGATCACCAAATAACAAAGACAATCAAGAGACATTATGCAAAACCTCCACAACACTGAAAAATATTGAAACAGCAAAAACCTGATTCCCCCAAGGTTTTTACTACCTTTTTTTGCTCTGCGACAGCTTTGAAACGCCAAAAAAGGTTGCTGAGCTGACCATCATCCAGGACATAACCGAGCTGGAAAGGTAAAAAATGATGAGAAAACATTATCTTACTAAGATGGTGACAGTGAGTACGGATAAGGGGACATGTACCTCATTCAAACGGTCTTTCAGTGCGTGACGCCCACTGGATACGATAAATAATAAGCATTAGTTTAAACAAGACAAGCGCATCTGGAATAACAGTCTGAACAACAAGTTTGCCATACCTGAGCTTTCCTAATACAATACCAGCTTCATTTGATCGCTCGAGTCCAATCTCTTCGGGGCTCATAATTTCATATGTACCCTTGTGCTTCAGCATTCCATCCTAAATAGAGTGCATGAATTATGACCAAAAAACAATAATGAACAAAGTTATGCAGATGATTGAAAGGGTAAATATACATGTCATGAGTTATGAACCAAATTATTACACCAATTCTTCTCACTGAGAGACTAAGCAAAATGCTATAAGGGTAAGTTATACCTTGCAAGAATTAAAATATCAGACTAGGAGAGTTACATTTCTCCCGTTTAATGTCAATGAAGCAGACTTTAGTCACAAAAACAATAAGAATAGCATCAACTACGTTTCATTAACTAACCTGATGAATACCACTTTCGTGTGCAAAGGCGTTTGCTCCTACAATAGCCTTATGGGGCTGCGTTTGCATACCAGTGTACTCTTCAACCTGAGCAAATGACAGTAGACCTCAAAAAGGAAAATCTCCAAAAAGTTCCCCCTTTTATGTGAAAAAGTAGAATGAAGTTCAAAATGTGTACCATCTTGCTTGTCATTACAATGTGCCGGGTATCGATTCCAGTAAACAGGCCTCCTAATACATGATCTCCTCGGCATTTTATGGCCATGACAACCTATAAAGTTAGAATGAAATATTAAAAAATATTAAGTATTTAAAATGCAGCTATGAAAAGGAAGCTACTTGAAGAGGTTGTAATATCTGACCTCTTCTAATGAAGCGTTTCCAGCTCTTTCGCCAATTCCATTGATCGTCACTTCCACTTGTCTTGCACCGGAATGTGCACCCTGAATTCAGAACACATGTAAGTAACAATTTGTAACAGCTAATCTCATAAAATGGAAACAAAAATTGACATACAGATAGAGTGTTGGCAGTGGAGAGTCCAAGATCATTTTGACAATGTGTAGAGATTATAACATTCTGGATCCCAGGAGTATTAGCTTTAATATCAGCAATCAACTGACCAAACTCACTAGGCAAGGTTATACCAACAGTGTCAGGTATGTTGAGAGTTGTAGCTCCAGCTTTTATCACTTCACCAAGAATCTCGTACAAATACTCTCTCTCCGATCTGAACACCAAGTGACATTTTTTACAATTTTAAGTTTCAAAAGTTGTTAATAGCCACTATCGAAAGAGCATCAAAACATCAAAATTTTTACTATCGAATCCTTAAAAAAGCACATTCCACGACGACACTTCACAACAAAATTCTAGGCAGCAATCAAAATAAATAGAATCTACACAATGCACTGAAATGTTGTAGCAAAAGTATGAATCTTTTAACACAAAGTGGTACAACGATATTAGGCATTTCAAAAACAGAGAATCAAATTCCAAATTGGGAAACGTTTTCTGAAGTGCAAAACTTGAGTCAATGTAAAAGTTTTCTTCTTTTGTTTATTTCTTCTCACAGCCCAAAAGAATCAATAAAAAATTATTACCTTCCAGCATCTTCAGGACTAAATTCAACATCTTGACAACCCAAGCTCCTGGCAAATCCAACCATATTCCGAGCTATCTCAATAACCTCTTCTTTGCTCTTCTTCAACTTATACTTCAAATGAATATCACTAGTTGCAATAAACGTATGAATCCTGGGCCGTTTAGCATACTTCACAGCCTCCCAAGCCGTCTCTATATCCTTCTTGTTACATCTCGAGAGCCCACAGATAACAGGGACATAGCCATTTTCGTCCATGGTATTGCCAACAGTCTCCGCTATGGTCTTCACAGCCTCGAAATCGTCTTTCGAAGCAGCGGGGAACCCAGCTTCAATGATGTCGACTCCGAGCTTGGCTAACTGACGAGCGATATCGAGCTTTTCCTTGGACGTTAGCGTAGCTCCGGGAGACTGTTCGCCGTCTCTGAGAGTCGTGTCGAAGATTCTGACGTAATTAGGGTCTGAAATGCGATTAGGGATGTAATCAGGACGAAGCCGAGGAGTATGAGGTGGTAGAGGATAAGAACCGGAGATTGAGCACGAGACACGGAACTTCGCGGCGGTGCAAAGGGAGACAGCATGGTGGTTGTCTGATCGGAGATGAATAGATGAAATTGGTGAGGAAGAGGAGGATGATAAGGCGGGAATTGAAGGTACAGAGATATATGGTGAATTAGTGGTTCTGAGGATCGAAGACGCCATTGCAGTTAAATACCTTAAGCTAGTGATCAGAGAGATATATAATGTATTTATACTGTATATGATATTCTCCTGGCGGCGACGGCGCAGTGTCTGGTTACTGTTTATTTGCTTCTTTTTTTGTTGTTGTCGACATACTATTTATTTGCTTGTGAATGAATGAAATATCTGAATATTCTTATTTTGTTTTATTTGAAAATTTTTGAACCGAAACCAAACCATTGAATTCTATTAACCGGAAAATCTAAAGGAAATTGAACCGGTTTAATTTCTGGTCGTACTTTTGACTCCTTAGTTTTCATCGCCTGCACCAACCCTCAAAAGGTCGTTTTTCAAATTATAAAACTCCATTTTTATTCTCAGCTCCTCCATTTTAGTCAAAACAATAGGCGAAGGAACCAGAGAGTGCCTTTTGAGCTTTCGTGAATGGCTTCGACTACAAAACCTCACCATCTCCAGAGATCTTTCATCTCTCCGTCGCGTCTTACCGGCCAGAGATATTTGGAATCTGCCGCTCCCTCATGCCTGAGATTCCGCCGCAGCGGTGTGCAATGCTCGGTGGTGGCCAAGGAGAGTAGAGTGAAAGGAGTGAAGGCGAGACAGATTATTGATAGTAGAGGGAACCCGACGGTGGAGGTTGATCTGATTACCGATGATCTGTATCGTTCGGCTGTTCCTAGTGGTGCATCGACCGGGATCTACGAAGCGCTCGAGCTTAGAGATGGTGACAAGAGCGTCTATGGGGGTAAAGGTGTATTACAGGCTATTAAAAATATCAATGAGCTTGTCGCTCCGAAACTCATCGGAGTTGACGTTAGGTGAGAATAAGATTTTGTTTTAGAATCCAAATGGACATATAAAAGTTGTGATTTTGGAGTTGTTATGCTTTGTTTAGAATATTTTGTGTCATTTTTTTCTGCAGTCTTTGACTTGGTTTCAAATCGTTAGTTTCCCTTGACTTAATCAGCTGTTTGATTCATAAGTTTGGATGCATGACTGCTGAATTTGGAATCTAGTAGAGGTTATTGAACTTGTTTGTGGAATGTAGCTTTGATTTTGATTCATACTATTTAGTGTTGAAGTAGGTGTCATTCTTGACTTGTTCTGTTTGTGATTTTTGCTTCTGAACCGTTGGGATACTTGTGTGTAATATGTTTACCTTCTTTTTCCTTCAAGGAACCAAGCTGATGTCGATGCCCTTATGCTGGAACTTGATGGGACCCCAAACAAGTCAAAGCTCGGGGCTAATGCGATATTAGGAGTATCACTGAGCGTTTGCAGGGCAGGTGCTGGAGCTAAAGGAGTGCCTTTGTACAAACATATCCAGGAAATATCGGGAACAAAGGAGCTTGTCATGCCAGTTCCTGCTTTCAATGTGATCAATGGAGGCAGTCATGCTGGGAATAGTTTGGCTATGCAAGAGTTTATGATACTACCTGTAGGAGCAACCTCATTCTCTGAGGCCTTCCAGATGGGAAGTGAAGGTCAGTTACTGATATTTTAGTCTAACCTGCTTGAATTTGATTTTAAGTTTGCATTGATGTCAGATATAAAAAAATTGAAAAGCTGTGATAAACACCTTCCTATTATGTCTTTCTCTTTTGGTTTCCATCTTCTTCTTGTTGTTTTGATTATAACAAAGCATTTATCTTCTGAAAGTACTGCATATAATTTACATTGTTGATTACAGTTTATCATACACTGAAGGGGATAATCAAAACTAAGTACGGTCAAGATGCTTGTAATGTCGGAGATGAAGGAGGATTTGCTCCAAATGTTCAAGATAACAGAGAGGGACTAGTTCTGCTCATAGATGCAATTGAAAAAGCCGGTTACACTGGAAAGGTAGCCAAGTTCCCCTTTTAAATGCATATTTATTTATTTCACATGATCAAATTGCTACTGAGTCTTCTGTGTTCCATTAAACAACAGCATCTGTGTAATGTTGCATCACTCACGTAGTTTAATGCATTTGCAGATCAAAATAGGAATGGATGTCGCTGCATCAGAGTTTTTTACGAAAGATGGTAGATACGATTTGAATTTCAAGAAACAGCCAAACGATGGAGCTCATGTTCTATCAGCTGAGAGTCTTGCTGACCTCTACAGAGATTTCATCAAGGATTTCCCAATTGTCTCTATCGAAGATCCTTTTGACCAAGATGATTGGAGCTCATGGGCTTCATTGCAATCCTCTGTGGATATCCAACTCGTGGGGGATGACTTGTTGGTCACTAACCCTAAGAGGATAGCTGAAGCTATTAAGAAAAAGTCTTGCAATGCTCTTCTCTTGAAGGTAAAAAAAAAACTATAGTTATTCATTATCTTCCTGCTGACCTCAATTCTCTAGATCATTTATCAAACCCATGAAATTCATTTTGCTTGTAATTCATGTGTGTCACAGGTTAACCAGATTGGGACAGTGACCGAGTCAATCCAAGCAGCACTTGACTCAAAAGCTGCAGGTTGGGGTGTGATGGTTAGTCACAGGAGTGGCGAGACAGAGGATAACTTCATAGCAGATCTTTCTGTTGGTTTAGCAAGCGGACAGGTACATTACATTATCTAAACATGTCCACATCGTAGAGTGTTGGCTAACCATTCCCTGTTTTTGTAGATCAAAACTGGTGCTCCGTGCCGAAGTGAACGATTGTCAAAATACAACCAGGTAATTAACTAATATCCAAACTTATGCTGCAACTAAATAACCACGAATTGAGCCTTGATACATGAAATGATTGAATGTGTGTTTGTTAGATTTTACACTTTTGAGTTGGTAGAAACTGTGTAGTAAAACTGATAAAAACAAACACAACTTGGTAGTTTAATTCTGAGGTGGTAATAAGAGAGAGTAACTCATAATGTGAGTTTGATTTATCTCCGTTGCAGCTTCTCCGTATCGAAGAGGAACTCGGCAATGTGCGCTACGCTGGTGAAGCCTTCAGATCACCATGAGAAAGTTGAAGAAGGCAACTCATTGGCTTTGCTTACACGATTAGGTAAAAACCAAATGAGTTCTTCCAGTATTAGCCTTTTGTAAGCTGTCTCTGAAAATTATTAGAAAGAAAACAAATAATAGAAACAGCTTTTCCACATAGTTTTGTGTTGTAATGTGATTGATACTGATGTGAACATGGATCGACCAGTCATATTTCAGATTAATCAGATAACCCGAGTTTGCCATTATCTTTGGTCCATTATATGATGAGTTTATTGTTACTAAGTTCCAATGACTTTTATGGTTGAATATTGAAATTCTGGTCACAGCTGAGATAAAGAAAATTAGTACAGTTATAACTCTCTCGTTCAACGTACATAAACGTTGGCATGATTCATTCAGCTACGCGAAACAAATACAAGTCACGATTTTTTTTTTTTTTTGCGTTTATTATGTTAAAAATGAAATAAATATGGTTTAGTTACAACTTACAAATACACAACGAAATAAATAACAATAAATTATTTTATTTTTCATTTTACATTTTCTAAATAATGTATCAAATGGTATTGTAGAAAAGCCTATAATGGTAACAATTAAGACTTAGACCAGAAACGAATGATCTGAAGCATGTGAAAGAAGGTTCTCTCCAACCAGTTTGCTTTTTGTATATTTTTGTGGCAAAGTCGAGAATAACACGTAATGGCCTCAAATCTCAATAGGACAACAAAAGGGTCACGTGGAAGTTGTATTCCGTGTTCAAATTTGATTTTGATTTGCATAATAATCAAAGGCATTAACAATAACTCATGATAACATAATCCTTTTTTCCTTAACCATATCGAATTTCTTTTGATGACATACAGTCCATACGACTACAAGTACAAACAATTGAGAAAAGTAATTAACATAAACTGGTTAGTAATTGTGAAACAAAATAACCCCACCAACTATATTCAGAAAAAAAAAACCAACTATATTCAGAAAAAAAAGAGTGGGTACCATATCTTTTGGTGGCCAAAATGATTTGATAGCAACCAGTATGTAGCAGTATGTAGCAGTAGTAGCCATCCTTATATAAATTGCAAATAAAGACTCCAAAACCCCAAAAGAGAATACAAAATCTACTATACAATCTTGAATTTGAAATGCACACACGTCATATAAATGATAACCCTTTCAATATCGTATATAATTTAGGTAAGGCTTTAAGTATAGTAATTAACGTCTGAAGCATGTCTTTATTTCTTGTGTAAATTTAATCAACTGCTCCTTGGAATTACGCTTGTCTCTTTCATGGACTTGTGTGATTGATTACCTACTTCTAAATCCTAATCAAATCTTAGACACAAACACACGAGTACATAAAATTTACAATCTTTTAGACTAGGCGTCTTTTGACCCATTAACTTTACGTACGTAAGTCTACCTCAATAGGATCTTCCCTACCGGCAATGAACGTGGCTTGCTACTATTTGACATTTTTTTGCCATGTGCAAAAAACCTCTTCCAGAACACAACAACTGTAGATCTCTCTATTACTTAAAAACTTTAAAATAATCAGACGAGCGTAACGTGTGCCGTCGACTTAATTCACGAATTAAGAAAGCTTGATAAAATATAGTTTACATTAAAAAAATCAAACCTATAAATAGACATACGACATGATACCGATATACCAAAGTCTCATTTTGAGAATTAATTAGAAACGGTCCGATGACGTCGTTTTACTCCATTATTTCTCTTCTTCTTCTTCTTCTCTCTCTTTCGTCTGCGGTTATCTCCGATGATGCGTCCTTTCAGAAACTTCCGGTGCCGGAAACTAGGTCAGGACCTGAAGCTTTCGCCTTTGATTCCACCGGAAAAGGATTCTACACCGGAGTCTCCGGTGGTAAAATCCTCAAGTGGCTCCCCGAGACAGGTTATGTCAATTTTGCCCAGATCACTGAATCCTCGTAAGTCTTTTCTTCTCTATTCTTTAATTTGCATCTTCAAGATTATAAGTTTATAACCTTTGATGATTATATATATTTTTCTTTTGAAATTGGACTTTAATATCATTACTAGTTAACTCATTAGTCTCGTTTCTTTGTGATCATTGCCTTCGCAAATCTTTATAATTATTAATTTTTCTTTTATGGCTGCAATTTGGATACAATGGAATTACAAGTGATCAGACAAACTTGTGTTAGCATACTTGTTCTTGTTTCGAATACACGAAGATGAATAAAATCAACTTAATATGCTTGTTACATGTGTTGCGTGTCCCAAGAAAACAAAAAAGCAATTGGGATAATAGATGATAATAATTTAATTTTGTCCACTAGTCAAAATTATGGGTTTGAATGATTAGGATTATTTAGGAGATATATAGGAACTCCATGAAGTGGGACGAGTGGACGAAACGTAGTTCCTCGGTTTTATCGGCAGACGTTAGCAATATATGTCATATACCGATTAGGTGACCAATACGCACCTCAGTCTTTACAATATACACACACTCACACACACGCTTCCACGTTAAAAATGTCAAAACTGGCGTACGCACTTACGCAAATGTAGTCTAGAGACTAGGATTGCTAACAAAATTATGTTTCTTTTTTTTTTGTTGCATTAATCACAAATAATTTTATAAGAAGTCTTATATATATGGTTAATTTGTTTTTTTTTTTTAAATAATAATAATAATAATGGATTGGTTTGATTTGGTTGTGATTACTTTAGGAACTCTTCATGGTGTGATGGAAATATTGGAACGGCTTTAGCCGGACGATGTGGTCGACCGGCAGGGATAGCGTTCAACGAGAAAACAGGTGATCTCTACGTCGCCGATGCTCCGTTGGGTCTTCACGTTATTTCTCCCGCCGGTGGTTTGGCCACAAAGATCGCCGACAGTGTTGACGGAAAGCCCTTCAAGTTTCTTGATGGTCTTGACGTTGATCCCACTACTGGTGTCGTCTACTTCACTTCCTTCAGCTCACGCTTCACCCCTATGTAACGTTTCTATCTTCTTCGACTTGACATAGATTTCTTGTTTACTTTATAAACGAAAAACAAAAATAATACTGTCAATATATATTTAAATGGCAACAGAAAAATACTTCTATCAAACTGTTTCGTTAGTTTTTCAAAATTTTAGTATGATTTCAAAAGTATTTTAGTATGCTTATATATTGACAACAAAATCGTACTAAATTAGTTACCTATTATTGACTTCATTTTAGTATGCTTATATTTGTATTATTGGTACGTATATGCAGCCAAGTGTTGATTGCATTGGGATTGAAGGACGCAACTGGAAAGCTCTACAAATACGACCCATCAACCAAAGTCGTGTCTGTATTGATGGAAGGCCTAAGTGGTTCAGCCGGGTGTGCAGTGAGCTCAGATGGTTCGTTCGTGCTGGTTAGTCAGTTCACGAAGAGTAACATCAAGAGGTATTGGATCAAGGGACCCAAAGCTGGTTCGTCTGAAGACTTCACAAACTCAGTCTCAAACCCTGACAATATCAAAAGAATTGGTTCTACTGGAAACTTTTGGGTCGCTTCCGTCGTGAACAAGATCATCGTGCCTACGAACCCATCAGCAGTTAAAGTCAACTCTGATGGTGAAGTGCTTCAGACAATTCCACTCAAAGACAAATTTGGTGACACTTTGCTTAGCGAAGTCAACGAGTTCGAAGGCAATCTATATATCGGAACCCTCACCGGACCATTTGCTGGAATACTTAAGCTAGAAAATAAAAGTGAAGGTTCTTGTCCTGTCACTTAGAATCTCTCGTTTTAATGCAGCAGGTGTTTACAAACATATGAGAGCGTTATATTTATACCTGAATTATGAATGTTCAAATTAAGGTCATCAGAACCTTATAGTGGTTTTATTTTTATGTTACTAAATATATATTGTTACACGACCGACTGGTTTATTCATTCACACGGACCGATCAAAATGGTTTATTCACACAAAGACGATCAAGCATTAAATAAACCGGTACGAAGACATACGTTCACACTCCTAACGGATATGACATTTGCTCAAGCTCAAGGGTCAAGTAATTGCACTAAATATTACAGTCGACTCGCTAAAATATGACGTAGCCGGTCTTCTAAATTCAAAGTCCGACCACTCAAAACGTGATCGTCCGGGTCCATATTAACTCATGAACGCTCTTCCAACCTAGAAACTGAAGGGAATCATACCCCCAAACGTCGAAAGGTGGCAAGTTCAGCTAATTATACGAATATTACATTAGTCGGTAAAATGAAACATTTCGTTGTACATGTTACAAAATTTGATAATTGCCGAACGAATTTTTTTTGGATCAGAATTTTCTAAACAATATCTGAAATCTGAATATTGACAAAATTATCAATAAGATAAGAAAATCCAAAATCGTCAGTGACCAGATTGGGAGATTCTAGCTATAACAATATTGTATATTGCTATTTTTGTTTATCGGGGATTATGTTTCTGTTTATTTCTTTCCTTTTATTTGTGATATCCTTTCTTAATTATTTTCTAAAATCATAAAACGAATCATTCTAAGAATCTTGTCTAATATCTCATACAATCATTCATACTACTAATCTGATTTGTTACTATACATAAACCCCAACATTAATTCACTCATTCAGCCTGTAATGTGGATTGCAATTATTTAGACTTTTATGATCCACAAGGGCTTAAAATGCTGTCAAATCCCCCCCAAAAAAATTAAAAAAAAAGAAGAAGAAACAATCCATTTATTTACGGAACAATAGATATCTTTCTTTATTTGTTGGTCAGCGACTCTCAAAAGAAGAAGAAATCTCTATTTTTTTTCTTCTTGAATCTCTATTTGCCTTATTTTCAAAATCAGACCTATAAATATACACACGTTTAGAGATTCGTATACTAACTTTAGGATTCATAGATTTGTTGATAAATCGACTAATTAAGATTTACGATAATGGCTTCGTTTGTCTTTGTGATCTCTCTTCTTCTTCTCTCTCTTTCTTCGGCTGTTTTCTCCGATGACGCGTCTTTCCAGAAACTTCCGGTGCCCGGAAAGAGGTCAGGCCCTGAATCTTTCGCTTTTGACCCCACCGGCAAAGGTTTCTACACCGGTGTCTCCGGTGGTAAAATCCTCAAGTGGACTCCCGAGAAGGGTTACGTCGATTTTGCCCAGATCACCGAATCCTCGTAAGTTTCTTGGGATCTCCAAGATCATATTAACCTCTTTTTTTTTAATATCTGATTATGCTTCCTGTGCAAGGAATCTTTTTCCTTGATAAAATATTTGTATATATGATAATAAAAGTCTGAATTGTTACATAATGTTTTTCTTAATAACAAAATATTTTGTCAGCTCTGTGATTTTATTAGACAAGAAATCACCATGTCCAAATTTCGAATCCCTTGTCATGACAAGAACTGTCAATGACTTTTTTACTCGTTATAAGTCCTGCATTTAATTGGTTTCATAACTTTAGGAACTCGGGATGGTGCAAGGGAGCACTAGGAACCGCTTTCGCCGGAAAGTGCGGCCGACCAGCTGGAATAGCCTTGAACAGCAAAACAGGCGATCTCTACGTCGCCGATGCTCCTTTGGGTCTTCACGTTATCTCTCCCGCCGGAGGTTTGGCCACAAAGCTCGCCGACAGTGTTGACGGAAAGCCCTTCAAGTTTCTAGACGGTCTTGACGTTGATCCCACCACCGGCGTCGTCTACTTCACTTCCTTCAGCTCCAAGTTTGGCCCCCGGTATGTATTATATATTTCCTATCAATATTATATATACTATAACTCAAACATGTACACCTCCAGGCTCCAGCTATGAACGAGTAGTTGTTGTAGACAGGAAATATATAGTACAAATCACAAATATAAAGTTACAAGTTATTTCTAGATTTAATATTTAATCATATGAATAAGTAATTAGCTTGTAATAATATCTGTTACTAAATATATGTGTGTACTAAATAATTCTTGGTTTATGGATGATGCAGCGAAGTTTTAATAGCAGTGGGATTAAAAGACGCGAGCGGAAAACTCTTCAAATACGACCCAGCGACCAAAGCCGTGAGTCAGTTAATGGAAGGTTTAAGTGGTGCGGCTGGTTGCTCCGTCAGCTCAGATGGTTCGTTCGTGCTAGTCAGCGAGTTCATCAAGAGTAACATTAAGAGATACTGGATCAAAGGACCCAAAGCTGGAACTATGGAAGACTTCTCAAATCTTGTCTCGAACCCCGACAACATCAGAAGAGCAAGTTCTAACGGAGATTTCTGGGTCGCCTCCGTCGTGAACAAGGTCGTCGTGCCTACCGACCCTAAGGCGGTCAAGATAGACTCTAACGGAAAAGTGCTTCAGACCATTTCTCTCAAGAATGAGTTCGGGAACACTTTGCTTAGTGAAGTCAACGAGCACAACGGCCATCTTTACATCGGAACTCTCACTGGACCTTTTGCCGGAATCATGAAACTTTAAATTGGTTTATTAGCCATAAGGTTGTTTGGTGATTACCATTTTTGAAATCATCTTAAAAGTTGTCTTCTTCATTAAACTATAATAAAAGGTATATATAATATCACCTCAAATTTCCTGCCTTGTAATATGGGTGATGACACTTTCTATTTTTTTTAAGGCTTGGTCATCCTTTTTGTTTCCTCCCTTGGTTTTACTTAACAACGACGAAAAAAAGAAAGAAAGAAGAAGATATGTACATATATTAAAAATTATACTTAAGCACAAATATGATCTAGAATTTGAAAAACATACACGTTAAATACATTGACTTTTTATATAACACGTTACATACACACAATTCTTATACCAATAAAGTAATATACTAGAAAATGCGGCCGAAATATATAGGTACATTCGTATTGACCATTTCAGTGTCATAAAGTTCCAAGGTGTGAATGGTGTGATTTAAAAAGATGATGTGCGGTGCTGTACATTGAGAAGTTTATTTTACACACTATCGCCATTTATAAATGTATATCTGATTTACGCACACCTTACATAAATAATTATTTTTTTTCTTTTTTTTTTTATATGCATGGATGCAATATGAAGAAGCAATGCGATTGTTTCGGCTACCGCATTTAGAAGTATATTACAAAAATAAATGTTGACATATTTTGTTATCGTTTCAATCAATTGCTCTTAAAGATAATGTGGTATCTTTCATCATTAATCTTCTTCTAATCAATAGTAGTAAAATTAACACAATCTAGGCGTATTTACTTCTTGATATTCAATTGATTACTAATTTTAGTTTGATTTCTTTCTATAAATACTGTCCCTTGTCTCAACTTTGGAAATACAAAAATAAATCTATAAATATACATACGGATAACACAGGTTGATAACAAAAACACGCACAACCAAAGAAGAAACATTATGAGGTCGTTTGTCTCCGTGATGATATCTCTTCTTCTTCTACTTCTCTCATTTTCTTCGTTTGTTCACTCAGACAATCAATCTTTTCAAAAACTTCCGGTGCCGGGGAACAGGACAGGACCTGAAGCTTTCGCCTTTGATTCCACCGGAAAAGGATTCTACACTGGAGTCTCCGGTGGTAAAATCCTCAAGTGGCTTCCAGGGAAAGGTTATGTCGATTTTGCACACATCACCAACTCTTCGTAAGTTTCCACTTTCCAATATCATAGCTAGCCTTTTTTATACAATCATTTTTCTTTGTCTTTTTTTTTTTTAATGATATCAAGAGTATGATACGGACTTACCAAATCCGTAGCAAGATTTAACTTCTCATATCTATTTTGGGTAAAAGTAACCTTAACTTTTAATGTCTGCATAAGATAACGAAGTAAAAATTAAAACTCGAAATCAGATCTGACACGAGGTACACACTGAGAAATATTTGTTGTCAAAATACGAACCTCAGAGTCAATCATGTAATGATCCCCGATTCAGATCTGATACGAGATACAAATACATTGAGAAAACTTTGTTGTCATGGTACGAACTTCAGTGACGATCATGTTATGGGCTTTAGTTACTATTCAGAAATAATTGCAACCTACTTTTCTTTTTGGTAGGCTGCTGAAACTTAAAACTTTTAATTAATACATCCATTGAAGGATATTTATCTCCTTTTTCAAATCAGCCAATTTTTTAGAAAAAATTGTAGAATAATAAATAAATTTGAAAATTAGTATAAGTGGAGAAACTATCGAAACTATGGACAAAAGTGATTTAGTAATCCTAATTACATAACCCTAAAAGAAACACATGCACGATAAGGACTACATGATGATTGGCTCAATTTGGCTGTGTTGTAATTTTCTTTCATCTATTGGATAACGTTCAGCAAAACAAAGTGTCCTTTTGCGGTATAATTAACATTAAATCTTTCTAAACATGCACACGCCTCCCCGACTATAAAGTCAAAACTAACAATTAGACAAATACGTGTTGAGCTAATATAATGAGCTATACATATATCCACTCCATATTTAACTATGTATCATGTATGCTTTTAAAAAAAATATATATTCCGTTTGCTTTAAATAATAATTATCTAAATCAATTTGATTGATTTTAGAACGTCGTCTTTGTGCGACGGAGCACTTGCAACCGCTAACGCAGAAAAATGTGGTCGCCCGGCGGGAATAGCTTTCAACGGCAAAACAGGTGACCTTTACGTTGCCGATGCTCCGTTGGGTCTCCACGTCATCTCTCGCGGCGGCGGTTTGGCCAAGAAGATCGCCGACAGCGTTGACGGGAAGCCCTTCTTGTTTCTCGACGGTCTCGACATTGATCCCACTACCGGTGTCGTCTATTTCACTTCCTTCAGCTCAGCTTTTGGCCCTCGGTAAATATAATTAACACATATTATATACTATACTAGTTATTAATTGAGAAAAATATTTAGACTAGTTAATTATACTAATTACATTGGTTATGATGCATATAGCGATGTATTGAAAGCAGTGGCATCAAAAGACTCGACGGGGAAGCTTTTCAGATACGATCCATCAAAAAAGGTCGTGAATGTATTGATGGAAGGTCTAAGTGGCTCAGCCGGATGTGCGGTTAGCTCAGACGGCTCGTTCGTGCTGGTTAGTCAGTTCACAAAAAGTAACATCAAGAGGTATTGGATCAAAGGATCTAAAGCTGGCTCTTCTGAAGACTTCACCAACTCGGTCTCGAACCCTGACAATATCAAGAGAATCGGTTCTTCTGGAAACTTTTGGGTTGCTTCGGTCGTGAACTCAGCCACCGGACCCACGAACCCTTCGGCGGTTAAGGTTAGTTCTGATGGCAAAGTGCTTCAGACCATTCCTCTTAAAGATAAGTTTGGGGATACTTTGGTCAGCGAGGTTAACGAATTCAAAGGAAAGCTTTATATTGGCGCTTTGTTTGGTCCTTTCGCCGGGATTCTTAAGGTTTAGAGTGAACATTATGACATTAGTTTGGGTTTTTAGAAATAAAGTGATTGTGTCGAAATAAAGTCTTCACGGATAAATGTATCTCGTCAATGTTGATTATGTTCAAATAAAGTTGATTTTTATTTTTTTAAAGATGGTTACAAATTTCAAGACAAAGAGTTGTTTAAAAAAAAAAAAATTGTTATGTTCTGTGCATCACGTTTGGGTCATATTTATAGAAATCCTCACAATTATTAGTTTATTTATAAAATTATAGAGTTTTTGGGGGAAATCATATACACATATTACTTTTGTTGGATGCAATTCCTTCAAAAATTTTCAGGAAAATAAAAATCTTTGTACTTAAAAAAATAAAATAACAACAATCTTTATTTCTGCATGGTCAACCGGACGACTACGCACCCTGCTTCAGCTGCTACATTCACATGTAAATGACGAAAAATATATATATATATATATATGCAAATTACTAACTTTAGTTTGATTTGTTCCTCTAGCTATAATACATTTTTTTGGGTCAACTTCTTGAACAGTGGACTGTGAATACAAAATATGTTTAAAAAAATAAAAGGAGGTTTGGAAAAGGTACTAAAATCAATTCTACAAGTATACATACAGATTAGATCGGACTCATTGTAATAACAAGAGACTATAACAAAAACCACAACCAAGAAACGTTATGACTTCGTTTGTCTCCCTGGTTTCTGTTGTTCGTCGTCGTCGGTTTTCTCAGACGATATATAATTATATATAAGTCGTTTCAGAAACTCCAAGTGCCGGGAATGAGGTCGATCGTGTTATGATCTTTGGCTAAAGTGCTTCAGACCATTACCCTAAAAGATAGTTTTGGATATATGAAGGTAACGAAAAGGGACAGCTTTACATAGGAACTCTTTTGGTCCTTTCGACGGGTTCCTTAAGCTTTAGAGTAACATTAGTTTGGGTTTCCCAATTCGATGTACGTTAATGCTGATTATGTCCAAAAACGATGTCAAAAAGGATAATTACAAAATAGTACTGTACTAGTACTATGTGAAGTGTGAACGTTACAGTCGTTTAAGAAATAGGTTTAAAAGAAAAGAACAATGACAACGATTGTTATTCCTTCTTATTAAGATCAAACTTAGCTGGAAAGCTGGTCGGGTTCACGTGAGAATGAGACAAATAAAATGGTAGACGCAACTTTTTTCTTAGGAACAACGAATCGCTAATTTAATTAGCCTATTTTATAGAAAAAAGACAAAAATCTTGTGACTCAAGTCAAAAAGAGCATCTATACTATTACTAATCAAGAACCAGTCGATAACCACCATTAATTAACCAGCCGGTTGATAATTTAATCAAACCATATGCTTGTATAAAAAAACTGGTATTGCTATGTTTCATGTGATGCATCAAAGAATCAGAATGTTGCAAACACATAGAGTTTCCATTCTCTGCTTTTTGCTCATTCTCTTCTCATCTCATTCCCTTGTCTCGGCTCTCCAAACCTTCCAGAAGATTCCGCTGCCACAGCGAATCACCGGACCCGAAGCTTTCGCATTCGATTCTCACGGTGGAGGACCTTATACAGGAGTCTCCGGTGGCAAGATTCTGAAATACCAAGGACCAACACTTGGCTTTACAGAGTTCGCTTATATTTTACCAATCGCGTATGTTTTTCTGTCCAATATACAATTATACATGATGCATACAGCAATGCTGTAACAGCATACACATATTTAGTAATAATAACTCTCAAATGTCTCTAATTCACAGGAACAAGTCACTATGTGAGAAAGCAGTTGGGACTTTTCTTGGTAGCATTTGTGGTAGACCCGTCGGTTTAGCTTTTAATGAGAAAACCGGAGATTTATACATAGCTGATGCATACTTGGGTTTGTATGTGGTTTCATACCGCGGTGGCCTAGCCAAACGCCTAGCCGATACCGCAGCCGGATATCCTTTCCGGTTCCTTGACGGTTTAGATGTAGATCCGGTGACTGGTATGGTTTACTTCACATCTTTCAGCACAAGATTTGGCCCCAGGTTAATTCAAACTTTTGTTGTAGTTTGATTTAGTTAGATCAATTTCTAAACCGGTAGAATATAGATGATACTAACTTATGTTTTGTTTTTCAGTGAACTTGTCTTGGCGGTTGCTGTAAAAGATACGACGGGGAGGCTCTTTAGGTACGATCCAAAGACTAAAACCGTCACCGTTTTGTTAAGCGGTTTGAGTGGCTCAGCGGGATGCGCTGTGAGCTCTGACGGAGGGTTTGTTCTTGTGGGAGAGTTTTTGAGGAATCGGATCTTGAGGTATTGGATCAAGGGTCCAAAAGCCAACACGTGGGACATTTTTGTACCCTCGATCCCTGGTCCGGACAACATAAGGAGAACAGACGGTGGAGATTTCTGGGTCGCATCAAACTCGGTGAAGCTTATAGTGCTACCCACGGAACCATCAGCTGTGAAAATCAGTTCCGACGGTGAGATTCTCCGGCGTATGCCCCTCGGAGAATATTACGGTGATACATTAGTAAGTGAAGTGAATGAATACAAAAACGTTGTTTACTTGGGAACACTCACGACCACTTTTGTTGGTACTTTGTAATGAAGGAAATCAATTATTAAGCTTCTGATTCTTTGAATCCAACACAATTATGAAAAAAAAATCAGTCAGACATCTTTTATAGAGGAGTACAAGATAAGACATTCATGAGCTTGTCCATAACTTAATAACGTGTTGCTTCACCTTCTTACCATCGTCTCCAAATACATTGCGGTGGGAACTCTCCGTTTATTCTCAAGAAGCACGCCAGCGTTAGTCCTTCATAGCTGAGACTATCTTGTATAGGAGAGAGCGTCCACTCGATCTCTTTTCTTATGCAAGCTTCAACATTGTCCTCAGCTAAGGAGAATGCAGAAATTGAGAGAAAGGCTTCGAAGAAGATAAGATACTAACGTTTACAATGGTCTTTCATTATTGTTTGAGATTAGCTGAAACTGTAAAATAGTTTTAAGACTTGTTTCACCTTAACTTCATATCTCATTGGTTACATTGATATCAGTTTTAGTTTCATCTATAAGGAAACGGTTTCTTTACTTCCATTCAAATGAGATTCTGTAATAGTGTTGGAATTATCGGAGAGAGCTGAGGTAATCTTTAAGCAAATCAATGATGGGAGTTGCTAAAGAGTCTCGTCCAAGTTGCTGAAACATGATTCCATCCATTCGAGCTTGAACTCCCTCGGTGATTGTTAATTCATCGAGCAGTCCTTTTAATGTTCTGTCAACTCCAATCACCGAGCTCCCTATACCGCTTAAGATATCTGGTAGTGATGTAGAAGGTCTTGAAAGCTCAACAAGAGTTACCTGTATTTACCGCAAGAAGAAGCGAAGTATCAAATATCATCTCCTTTGTGCTTTTTCTAAGTTTTAAAGAATTGTTGTTACAAAGATGAGTTTACTGAAGCAAGAGAGAGTTTTAGGGGCGAACCTTCTTATCAAGAGGAATATTAGCTTTCTGCTTAGCGATGGCTATAGCTCGGGACAGCCCACCCAGTGCATCTACTAGACCACGAGAATGAGCATCCTTACCAGTCCAGACTCTGCCTTGTGCAACTTCTTCCATCTTTTCGACCTAGGAAAATGGTAAGAAGATATATATTAAGTCTTCGAAAAGCACATAATTACAAGAGAGAAATACAAGATTGGACCAAATACAGGCATCGATCTTGATATGGCTGCTTTATCTCGGAAAAGCTGGTATGCATGTTGTGCAGACTTCCCAAACAGTTCTGCTTCCTCTGGCCTGTAAACATAATTTTGTTGTTTTGATTGTGAATGAAAGGAGCATATAGGTTCTCAAAAGAGCAGTTTCGAGGATCGAAATTGACAAAAGATAAAACCCAAATTAGGATCAATTGGGTGACAAAAGAAGTCTTAGACGGTTAGAGCCTAACTAGGTAAAAATTCGTTGTAATAAACAGAGTGAGGCCACTCACTTAAATGGTCTTTCTTCAGCCCCCAGAAGCTCGGCATATTTTCCTCTAGATATAGTTTCCTTGTTGAAACCAATCTTTTCGTATAATTTGGCCAAGGTAAATCTTGCTGTAACAGCAAGAACAAACAAAAGCAATCAAGCATGGTGAGGGTTGGTGAAAGAGATAGTTGTACAAAAGATTCAGAATCTTTCTTTTTTATTCTCTGGCAAGAAGAAAAAGAAAGATCACCTGTGACAACTCCAATTGAGCCAGTTAATGTCAAATTTTCAGCAACAATGGTGTTCGCAGCCATTGCCATGTAGTAGCCTCCACTTGCTGCCACATCTGACATTGATGCGATGACAGGTTTTGTTTCAGCCAGTAGTTTGATCTCCCTCCACATTCTGTGTACCATTACGAATTACAAAGTATTATAATAAAGCCTAGAAGGATCTCCAAAGCTAACTAAATTCAAATCCACACATGACCTCCAGGCTTGATAGATATCATATTGGCAAGTTACTAGATGCTTAATATAGCATTCTTAATCCATTCTCTTGATTTAAAAGATAGCACTTTAACTTCTAACCTCCATTCGAGAAGAACAATATTATCGTAATGGGTCTGAGTTTATCATGTTAGAAGGTGAAGCCAAATCATCCATGAAACTACTGTACAGTATATCATACAAGCATATTGTACGGTATATCTATACAACATTGACAGCTAATAAAACTACTTACAAATCAGAAGCGAGAGCATCGCCTCCTGGACTATCAATTCGGATGATGGCAGCCTTATATTTTTTGGACTCTTCAAAAGAAAGAGGAAACTGAAGGTTCTGAGCTGCTGTTGAAGAATACAACAGCACACATGTAGATGGAAACCTAAAAATAAAAAATAACGACCCACCTCTTACACTGCGGATTTTCTCAATTAGTTGTTCTGCTATGATAGCTGAACCAGGAGTGCTTAGCGGACCCTTAACCCGAGAAATGCTCCCCCCTGCTCTAATAATAGCTATCTGGTCTCGACCGCCACTTAATCCAAGAGTCCACTTCTTAACACCTGAGTATTTCCTGCATAAAGTATTTCAATAGAGAATATTATCTGCATGTTACTAGCCTGTAAAATTGATAAATTGCATGAAACTGATGGAGAACTGTAAACGATATCAAATTTTCTTCCTGCAAATATTATATACAAGTAAAATAATAAGTTACCTAAGTATGCATACCTCCATTTACTAAATAAATCACAAACATCTATTCATTCCAAAATGAGAACCAAAAAAGATTACATATCTGATCCACATTTGTTAAATTACAATCTCGAGTTGGTACGCCACAGGGTATTCATTTCTCCATATCACATTAAATTAATTTTACCCAATTATCATTAACCACCTAGAACCCATTAGTAAAAGGCTTGAGCCAAGTGTACATGCAAAGATAAGAACTCTAGATTCAGCAAGCCTTAGTTTGAAAATCCCATATAGTAAGAGTTAATTACTTGTAATCAACAGTAGGAAGCTTTTTGTCTTTTTCGACTCCAAGCCTCTCTTTCAGCATCGATATAACCTGCAAAAGCATTAAAAGTGAATGATTTAGATCAAAAACAGTACGGGGCCGGTACCTAATTCCCATTTGTATACAGTAGTTATGTAAGGGATACTACATGTGTATCTCATTTGTATAGTTATGTAAGGGATACTATATGAGTATCGTCATCCCAATAATTTGGAAGGATACCAAAAGATCCAAGAAGAAAAAGTTCATGAATAAAGGACAAACAACAAGGATCATCACTTATGGCTTCTGGGATTAAGAAGAAGGCACTGAATCCCATCTTTACAATAGAAATGGTATTACCTCATCATCATACATAATATCCTTTATCAGCCCCTCTTCCTTTAGCTTTTCAATTTCGTAAACTCCTTGATTGATGAAACTTTCAACATCTTCTCGCTTTTTTCCTGCATAGTTCTAAGAAGAAGTCATTCAGGAAAATTAAGATTACAACCAAAACAACATTGTAAACAAGTGTAGCACCTATTGAGTCAGAAACACCATCCAGCCAATTTGCATAAATGTTATCAAGTAGCACACTCAGCATCTCATAATTTTCCTCCGATATATTTTTGCGGGAAAGCTGATCTCCAGCACTTTTGTATTTGCCAATCCTTTGTACTTGAGGTTCAATCCCCACTTTCTCGAAGACACCTATATATTTTTGAACAATAACCAGTTCAAGACAAATGCGCCAAGTAATGATTCAACAACAGCTTTCTCAATAAATGAAGGATCGTCCGCACACATAATGAGGTGAGTGCATATAGTTTCTGTATGATATAAAACATCAAAAAGACTTTTCCTGACTTATTTTTAAGTGTGAAATTGGGCCAAAGAAGAAACAACCCCTACCTCCAAGAAAAGATGCTTGAACAGTCAAACCATACAGAAAGGAATAGGCACTAGGCGGGGCATAGAGCTCGTTGCATGCACAGCCAAGATAGTATTCCTTTAATCCACATATGTTGATATATCCAACAATGAATTTACCTAATAAAGATGTGTTTGATTAGCTCAATGAACTCAATCGGAAAGTTATAAAATCTGATACTCAACAGAGAATGTAGATTGAGGTGTTACCTGACTTTTTAAAATCCAATATATGCCTTCGAATTTCTTCAACCTTTCCCCACCCACAACTCAGAGGCTCAATGTGAAGGTAGATTCCAGCAATACGAGGATCATATGCCGCTTTCACGAAATTTTCTGAGAGTTGGGGCAGAGAAAGCCCAGAATTGAAACGACTCTTCAGCTGATCAGAGATCTGAACATAAGGAAAACAAAATTCAAAAGAATGTTATAAACAAGTTTTTTTTTTTTTAATACAATGTAGCTTTCCGTCAACTAGGTTCGCTTAAATTGCTACCAGAAACCTAAATTAACACCCCCAATACTGGTACCAGCATCCAACAACGACAAAAATGAGAACAGACGAAGAAGCGAATAACGAAACCTGGCCGCGCAATGTCATGTTCAAGACGCTTCCCTTACGAACACGCTGCCATGGAAAAGCAAACAGCATCCGCAACTTCACAACAAAAATCTCCCACGCGTTCCTATTGACATACTCCATTTCTCCGGTCGGATAGTCCTCATTTCTTTCCCCTGAAACTCCATCCCGCAGCGGTTCCTGCTGCTCTTTCTCTATCTCCGCCGAGGAAGAAGCAGGTGAATCGTCGAAAGCACGAGCCGAGAATCTCCGATTGTACGGAGAACGAAGACGAGGTTCGATATGGGAGAATTGGGAATTCACGAGGAGAGGTCTTCTGTATAAAGCCGATGCGGAGACCAGTGACCTACTACCGCTGCTAAATTTAGGTAATACATGAGGCGCGTGAAGAAGAAGTAGCTTAGCCATTGTTACTCTCTTTCTCTCCTTCCTGCGAAGAAGAAGAAATAGGTGAAGAAGAAGAAAGACTGAAAGAGGAGGATTGAGAAGGTATAGTTTCTTCCACGTCGTCACTGCTTCACCGTGTTTGACGTGTGACGGTCAAAGTCGTTACGTGGACTAACGGTTCAAAATGATTCACTAATCCAATTTCGGTTTAGTTAAGTTCACTTGAATCGGAATGCGAGAAACATGAACCAAAGTAAAAACCGAAATTTGGTCCAATTGCTAAAATTATGCAAAATCGGCTTTAATTTTATATACAAGTGTCATAAAGGTTCGGTTCGGT